AAACATGGTAAACGAAATATCCAAATGCTTTTAAGTATGGTGCAAACTGTTAAAAGACGAAAATAAAATTTTTTCTATTAAATGATAAAATCCTTATCAACGATTGTTTTGCTTAACAATTCAGCTTAAAAATTCATTGATTAATTTTTCATATGTATTTTCATCATTTTCGAGAAATAAACCATTGCAACATATTCGAATCGAATTTTCTAAATTCAAAAGCGAATTTCAAGGAGATTAAGCAGATTTAATGATTTGACACTAGAATTTCATATAATTCAGATTGAAAATTTAAATGTTCAATATTTACTAGCAATAAATTTTAATCAATTTTATGAGCTTTTTTTTTTATTTAAATTCAGAAATTCAGAAATTCCTCGATTAATGTTTTATTGGAATTCATTTATCATCTAAGATTTCTGATAGTCCACGAAGGTTTCAATAGTTTTAACTAATTTATCATATATATCTTAGAGAAAATATTAAGAAGAATGCCACTTTATATTCGTGGAAAATAATTTCCAATTTTTCGAGAGATACTTTATTTTTACTGAAAATTTATTTGTAACATTCATATTAGAAATATGAATGAATAAATATGAAACAATTGAATTTGAAGTTAAATATTGCGAAAATTTGAAAAATTGAGCCCTTAGGCTAAGTAAAGAAAAAATATTTTAAAAATTATAAGATTTACTTTAAAATTCTTAGACGATAAAAAATCTCAAATCTGAAAAACTAATGTTTTTTTTTCAAAAAAATCATCGTATTTATTTTATACATGATTTTTGATGATGGAATGACGATGATTGAGTGGTAAGTATGTTGCTTTGACGGAAGGACGGAAAGAAAATCATATAGGTTTAAATTTTTGTTCGTTGCTGAAATTGCTAAAATTAAAATCCGAGCGACTATTTTATCAAATCCATTTATATAAACTCATTAAATAATTCTTTCTTCGCTTAGAATTAGAAGGAAAAAATTTTTTAGTGATTGCTTTGTAGCGAGTTTTAATTTTTCTTGATTTTTAGAAAAAAATTCGAAAAACTTAAGCGATATGATTTGAGATAAAATATCTAAGTGATAAAGCACTCATTAAATATTCGATAAGCGTTATCATTTATCTTATCATTTTTTTAATTATTTGTGTAATTTATTCAATATGTCGATTTAGTTCGAATATTATTTATCAAAAAATAATCGTAATATCAAGGAATTAGATGGAAAATTGAAGAATCTCTAGAGAATTTAGTTATAGTAGAAAAGATTTCCTCTCTTCTAAATTTCACATCTTTTTTTTTTCGAAGATATTGAAATTTTGAAAGAGTTAAAAAATCAATTTAAGCAATGAAAGCATTTTGTGGAAAGCAGAAATTGTGTTCCAATATTGGCCTCATCATTTTTGGGAATTTCTGGCACGGATCGATCACTCCCACACGACCCTATCGACTTTTTCACTCACTCGTAAGACCAGTAAAGAGCAATGGTCTAAACGTTTTAACGTTTCAACGAAATTCCTTCAAAAGCCTTTTAAATTTCACAAAACGCCTTCATTGCTAACACTATTCAAATGGCTTCGCTTCACTTCTTTTAATTCGTTCTTTTTCGAAAAAAAAAAAAAATTTTGCATTATTTGAAGATATTTTTTAAACAAAAATATAATATAATTAATAGTATAAATATTATTTTTATAAATATTCTTTGTAAATAAATAAAAAAAATTGTTTCAAAAATTTTTTTTTTATATTTTTATATTATTTATATTTTTCTATTTAAATATTTTTATATCTAAATTTATTATAAATTTTATATATAAAATATTTATGTCGATCAATTTTAGAAATTATTAAAACAACCAACTGCTTCAATCGCTCAAAAATGAAATTTGCCGTTTTGTTATCCAACATTTTATCCAACATTTACTTATTTTTAGCTAATCAGTGCAATTAATTTATTTCATTGGTTAATTTTTAGTAATTAGTAAATGAAAAGCACTAAATGGTTTACATTATTGGATAATAAAAAAAAAAAATGATAAAAAATTAAAAATTCACTAAAACGATGTAATAAAAACGCAATTTTTTTCAAAGTAAAAAACATAGCAGAAATATAATTAAAATGAAATTTTATAATAATGAAAATATTAAATAAAAAGTGGATTTCAAGTACCAATTATGATAATTAGGCTGATAACGATTGAATAATTGATTGATAAGATTATTTGAAAGAATTAATCGTTTTGTACACTTATGTTCTATGTTTTATTATTATCATGAAATACGCATAAATTTAATTTTTGCAATGATAAATGATAAGAGAATGAATAGTGTAAAAATACTTTCGAAAAGCTTTATCTTCGGCTGTAAACTAAGTTATTCAATGAACAAAAGGCTACTGTGCATGCCTTGATAAAAACCATTTTGGCTTAGTTTAATTGGTTTAGTTGGTTCATTTTATGTCACAATTCTTCTCTAGTTTTTTCTAATTCTTAACGGTTTTTTTTTCAAATAATTTTTCTTTTTTAACTTAATTGGCTGCAATAATATAGGCCAAATCCAATGATTTTTGGTTCATTTTTTAGTCCATCTTTAAGAATTCGCTTTAATCTTCTCGTATATTTATTTTTTTCTTTGATTGGTTCCACTGGCGACTAAGTTTTTGACACCGTTCTGACACCGTTAATAAAATAAACTCACAAATTGCTTATATCAGTATTAATTGCATATCAGTTTATGTTTTGATTATGCTTTTTCTTTTTTATCATCTATCATAAGGGCTTATCATTTTTTCTATTCGGTACATAAATCTTTAAGAAATATAATAATTTTTAATTTTTAAATAAAATAATGATTATTTTATAGAATATTTTTGCAAATTTTAACATATTTTTCATCGTTCTATCTTATTTTTAATTTTTCATTATTTATCATTTATTTTATATAACTATTTTATATTTTTTTGAAATTTTCATAGTCTATTTTTTTCATTTTTCTTTTTTTCTTTAAAAAGTGTAAAAATGATTTTTCTAAAGTTGAAATTAAATAAATCGTTAACTCATTAAACCACTAAATAGTGGAATCCTTTAATGAAAATGTCTATTTTTTTAAATAAGCTAGAAAATCTGACAATTGTAAAGAGATAAAAAGTAGGCTTAAGTGTGAACTAAGTAAGTAAGTAAGTAAGAGTGGAGGATACATTTGTCTTCATGATTATTGCTTTCCTTTCTTTTTTCTTTAGAAGGTGTAAAAATGATTTTTCTTTAGATTTATGTCTTATCTTTCGTTTCTTCGCAATCAAAATAATTATCCACAAATTCGTTTCTTTTATTTTTTCATTTTTTTACTTTAATTTTCTCTGATTTTTTATTCATTATTAACAAAATATTGTTTAAAGAAATAAGAAGTAGTTTAAGTGGTACTTAGCCAGGTCAAACACTTTTTAAAATTTTCTTTTGTTCCATTTGAAATCGATTACCCATATCATCTAAACAATGAATTAAATTCTTATCAGTGAAATATGTGAAAGAATTGCTTAATAGATAGATTACTCACATTTCGGAGCGCTGGTGCTTGGGTTCTACTAGAAGTAAATATGTTTTTTAAAAATCCTAATAATGCTGATGACTTATTTGTACGTCTCTATCGGCCAAGTGACTTCTTGCAAAATTGGTCAGGGGCAAGCCAGCGGAATGCGCTAATATTATGAAAATTAGACTGATAACTATCAATCAAAAGTGGTGAACGTTCTCAAAATAAATTATAAATAAAGTATAAAGTATAAATCTAATGGTTGATAATTCATTTTTATTTTTATTCATTTATTAATTTAATTTAATTTAATTTAATTTAATTCATAGTCCTAAATTTTTCCTTAAATTTATATAATTTATAGTGGATTCACCATAAAAATTTTTCTATGATAACATACGAATGATAACAAAAAATAAATTTAATTAATGAAAAATGAAACTTTTTGGCAAATATTTTTGCAACTTAGTTGCCAATAATTTTTTTTCGCTATTATTTTTTGGGATAAATAATAAATGATAATAATTGTTTTTTGGGACTATTATTAATAATAAAAATTGATTCAAATTAATTTAAAATAATTTAATTTCGCCCATTACGAATCGAATATCGTTATTTACTATTCACAAATTCTTCTTCGCTGATATTTTTTAAAATTAAAAATAAAAAATTTTTCGTCCATGCTAAAATGCTAATTTTATCTTTCAATATTTCGATATAAATAGAAAAATAAAATAAAATTCAAATTAATTTGAATTTTTTCAGTGATCAATGAATTTTTTTCCAAAATTCTCATAAAAAAAACGGGAAAAGAAAAGTATACGTTTTGTATGTTTGGTATTAAAGAATTATCAATATTATTGTTATTGTATTTTCTATAAATATTATATTTATATTTAGCAATAAAAAATAACGATATTATTGAAATAAACTATTGAAATCAATCTTCAGTTACTGATTATTTAGCTTATCAGAACCGCATTTTTCTTTGGTATGTCATTTTATAAAGTATAATTATTCATATATTGACTATTATCATGCTATAATTAAAATTTTTATAATGATCAGGATTATCGGCATTTGATGAAGCAATGTCAGAAATAGTTGATGCTTGAGGCTATTTAAGATGATAACACTAAATAATAAGTGTTTAGCGCTTTCGCCATTTTTGATTAGACTCGCTCCGCTGGTACGATTTGCTGCTGGTTAATTTGAACTCCATACTAATAAGAGCTGATAAGGATTTTCTATCGAAACAATCTAATTTCTAGAATCTTTACAATATTCTTAATTGTGTTTGATAATAAATTGTTTTACGAAAATCTTTCGCTTTTAAATTTAGATTTTCAAAATATTTCATTACTATGAAAAATTAATTCGGTCAATTACATCTTTTAAAATAAAATAAAAGCTTATAGATTATTTTGCTTCTTTGTTTCAATGGGTATTAGAATCGAAGAAGTTCCAACATCGATGGGTCAACGTATCGCCAAGCATAATATGCAGACTGGCGTCAAATTATACCATCAAAGACGCCATCAACAGGCTTTCGCTCGATGGCGAGCTGCCCTGCAAAGGCTAACGTATGTTATTTTCATTATTTTTATTTTTTAAATTTATTTAAATTTATTTTATTTTTAATTAAATTTATTTTTAAAATTTTTTTAAAAAATTAAATTTTTTAAATTTTTTTTTCTTATTAAAAATTATATAATGGAGCTCATTAAGCTCATTTAATAAATTTGAATAAATTTAATGAAAAAAAATATTTTATAAAAATATATATATATAAAAATAAAAAATATATAAATATATATAAAAAAATATATATTTTGATTAAAATTTAAAAAATATTTAGTAACGCTGAGGACAGATTTATAACTCTTGGTTATATGGCACAAGCATTCTGTGATGCTGGAGATTATGAATCCATGTTGCAATATTCGCTGCAACAAATGGAACTAGCCAATGCTCGTCAAGATGAATATATGAAAAGCGAGGCATTTTTAAATCTATCCAAGGCGTACGAAAGGCTCGCGGATTATAGTAAAGCTATTGGCTATGGTCGAGCTAGCTTAGAGCATCCGAGTATGGATCCTAGAACGCCTGGCTATGCTCATCTAGGTATTTATTTTTTTAAATCTTTTCTTTAAAGTTTTTAAAAAATTTGCTTGTTTTTTGTTTTTGAAAATTGCTATCACAAATAATAATAGTTTTATTTGTGGCACTTTTTCGAATTTTTATGACTCCTATAATCCATCTTCTTTTAATGAATTTCGTGATTTAGCTGATCGTTCATTTCTAATCTTTTCTTTAGATATGATATGATAAAACATTATCACATGGCTACCAGTTTAAGATAGTAAATTAAAGTCAGAAATATCTAAAATTCTATTTAATTTATCCTTTTTTTTTTCTTTTGAACCTATTCACATGCATTTAATGATATTAACTAATAAAAAATTTCATGAGACTTAACTTTTTACTTTTAATAAATAAATTTATAAAATCCACGAGGCATCTGAAAATATATTTCCTTATTATAAATTTAAAAATTTAATTAATTACTTTTACCAATAGAATTTAAATTGAATTGGTTTTTTAATTGGTTTTTGGTTCAATTTTTTTTCTTAATATTATATTTCCTATCGTCTTTTTAATGCTTTAATAATATTTTTTAAGCAAAATTTTGATTTATTTAGTCATCATCTAATCACTATCACTATCTGATCACTATTCTAATCATTTATGGTTTCACTCTCAGAAAGTTATTTCGAAATAGAAATATGAAACGTGGATAAACCTTCAACACTCATTCAAACTTATTCACACTTAGATAAGCTAGAATCAGATTCTTCCAGATTCTTAAATGAAAAGAATCCAGGAACCTACACAATTTTCTCTCAATTCAAAGTAATAAGCATCTAAATCAATGAACAATGAATGTTAAAATTATGCTGAAATAATATTTATAATAAAATTGCTATATTTATATAAATTTTATTGCTACTTTACTATAAATAAATAATAGCATTTATAAGAATTATTTATTATATAGAATAATCTCCATAATATTCACAATACTTAATATATTTGATAATCGATTACTTAATATAAAATATATATATTTATTATTATTTATTAAAATATTTTTTAATATTTATTATAATATAATATAGAATATTTTTTTCAACATTTTTATTTTTTACAACATTTTTGTTAATTTGTAATTTTTATATTATATTTTTAATATTTATTATAATATTTCACAATTTAATAAAATTTATTTTTGGAAATCTGTCCTTAAACAGGAAAATTAGAAAAAGTTTAAAATATATTATCATGGTATTTTTTATCATTCTATTTTAGTGATAGCTTTATCACAAATGGGATTCAGTCAATTTCAAGCGAGTCTTGACGCATTTGAAAAAGCAATGTGTGTAGCAAATAATACTAATGATAAATTATTGGAATTACAAGTGTGCGTTGGCCTTGGTGCACTTTTTACTTTACTTAGGTAATATTTATAGTATTTCGATTACCGAAAATTCTTTATAATTTTCATTTTTGGCTACAAATTTTATTTATTTATATAAAAAACAATTCGACTGCTTCAAAAATCGTATTATGAAAAAAATTATTCAACTTTTTTTGTCATTAATAGCATTATTCTGAAAATTTTGAAAAAATAATAATGATGATACAATAAAATGATAATAGCGATAAGACAAAATTGATAAATAAGAAAAAATAGTTACAGAGATATATCAAAAGCGCTTGTTTTTTTACGAAATGCTTTGGCGATTCTTCAATATATCACTATCGATGATGTTCATGCTAAATATCGAAGTGTAATATTATATCACCTTTCTGTAGTCCTAAGGATCAAAGGATCCTTAATAGACGCTAAAGAAGCATGCGGTGTTAGTTAACAATTCGTTAATAGTTTTGTTAAATCAAGAATAACTTTTTTTTCTGCTTTCTTGAATTGTTCCATTTCATAAATCAACCTTATCAAGGTGATAACCATGAAGAGTGAATTGGAAAGAAAAATACAGTCGAATAACAAACACCTACCTCTACCTGCAAACGAATTTTAGGGATTAGTTGTTAGCAAATCAATTTCTTCGCAGTTACATTGTTTAATCTCGAAAAGCTCATGGAAATAAAATTTACTTCTGATGCCTTTCATCTGGCAGCATTGAGCTTATCTTAATTTAATTTAGGAAGCAATGCGAATTTCTTCCGAAACAGGAAACCGTTCAGTCTATGCGAGATGCCTTTCATCGCTTGCAGATATATATCGAGAATTAGGAGAATCAGAAGCTAAAGAGACGATAACGGTGATAAAAATTCCTATGATTTCCTATTTTTGAAAAAAAAATATTCATTTATCAGTGAAAAAATTATTATTTTATCTATATTTTTGAAAAATCCAATTTGTAAAGCTTTCTTTTTTAAAAAAAATTTACTTTTTTAAAATATGATTTTTATTGATGCTTCGATATCAATCTAAAATTGTCGAGTCTTTCGATAAGGCGAATAAAAAAATTTTAAGTAAATTTATGCAGAAAAGTTGGGCGCGTTATGAAGAGGCATATCGTATAATGCGAAAAACTAATGATCGTATGGGTGAAGTGCTTGTTCTTGGAAGTATGGCTAAATCAGCATCCGAAAGTCGAATTCATTACACCGGACAGTGTGAATGTCAGGTGATCTTTTTTGATATCAAATGATTTATTATCAATTATTATTAGTTGATATAATTGAATCATTACCTTCATTTTCTATATCAATACGATTAATCGAATAGATTAAAAATAGAAAAAAATAAAAATTCTTTTGTTTCTAATAATTTGCACTAAACGGCTATTTTAAAAAAATGAAATTGGATTCACTGCTAGACAATTAAAATTTTACATTTTTAGGCTATACAACTTAATAAAAAATGCTTAGAATTGGCAAAACTAATCGGTTGCAAGGTTCGTTTTTCTATTATTATTGCATTTAGTCTTTAACAATAGAAAAACCATTATTGATTAGACTCGCTTCATTGCTTGTCGCACTAGTCTAATATAGGGAGTTCCTTGGCGATATAAGGTATAGCTCGGCTAGCAGCATTATGCGAATTTTTGGACTGGTTTATTTTTGCATGGAATAGAACCTCAGCAAAGGGCACTCCAAATTAAGCAACATTCCACTGAGCCATTCTACTCCCTAACAATGTAAATATACTCAACAATCTCTCGTTGATTAAGCAAATTTATTGACGATGAAGTTGCTGAATATTTTTCCCTTACTTCCCTAATTATTGATTTATAAATATTATTTATTTAAAATTTTTTTATTTAATTATTTAAATTTAAAATTATTTAAAATTTTAGCATGCAATGCTTAAATGTCATCTAAGATTGCAAGATTTATATATGCAACTATCCGATGAAGATAGTGAAGAAATTACTAAAAAGGCTATTATCTCTTTAACTCAAGAAATGGAACTTTTTTGTAATTTTTGTGGTCAAACATATGGTCTCAAAGATAATTCCTTACAAGCTTTACGATGTTCTCATATTTTTCACGAAAAGTCCGTTATTAATTTTCTCAAAAAAAAGCTCTTTTAAGATTTTTCGGTGTTTTTTCCAAATTTTTTGAAATTTGCGATTTATTTTTAAAATTTCTTAAAATTTTATTTTTAAATATTCATTTGTCTTGAAGATTTCTTCCATAAGATTTCAGATGAAATCAAGCTTTTTTAAAGGAAAAACTCAAATTTTTTTTTTTTTTTAGATGCCTGCACATTTATCTCAATGAAACCAACAATACAATTTGCCCAAAATGCCAATGTAAAGCGATTTTAATGGATGATATTTCTCTTAGAAGGCCACTTCCTCTATTTTCGACTGATGCAACACAACAAACATCGCCGAGTATTTTCATTATCATCATTTATAACAAGATTATTTATTTAGTAGATAACTAACATATCACCTGGAAATTTTCCATTCTGCACGCTGGTCCTTTAGTTTCACTGCCAGGACGAGGTCCTTTCGCAAATGCCACTCTTCATTTTTACTTAACATCCCATTAAGGAATATGAAACGAATTCATCCATCTTGTTTTCCATCTCCTGAACGTATTTTAATGGATTTAAAAGGAAAATTTTTCATCCATATAATTTGATTATTATCTTTTAATAGTTAGTTATTCATCAATTTTAAATCTTCAAATACCCTTCGTACTGGATTTCGAATTCAAAATATTTAATAAATTTTTATTTGCATTATTTAATAGTATAATTATAGACTCGTTTTTACTGAACTCACGAGGACATAAAACTTCTGCCGGTGGTGTAAGGACCGTTTTATTATCATCAGCAGGTCAACCTGGTCCATCAAGGAAGCAAGGTGAAATATCGCAAAAACCATTATCTTTTCTCAGTAATCCTTTATCATCTATCGACATCAGTTCGGATACAATTGAATCTACACCATGTGGGTATTTTTACTGAATTTGAAATCCCTAAATATAATACTGAAATTCCCAATCATGTCTAAAATTGTGAAAAATTAATAAAATAATTTCAGTGGCCCAGGTGAGCCGTATAAAACAAGCTCCTCCGCCACCACCAAGGAAGCCGTGCATGGCTGATGGAGGACTTCCATTTTCATCCGTTCTAGACTCTCCTATATATGAGAGGCGTGAAGGCAACAAATTTGTATATCCTAGAGGACTAACAATCACCGATGTTTAACTGGTCAATAATTATAAATGTCGAATATCGAGTTGGTCGACATTGTACATTCCATGCAAAAAATTTTTTTGATATGAACTAACATTTTAAATATTTTACATTTTAAATTATACATTCATTTGAAATATATATAAACTAATAGAATTTCACCATTTTCGTTTTTAACCATTTGGGATTCTCAGCAATAAATTTGCTCTTTGCAAAAAACTTGGATAATTTTTTACTAAAAAAAACTAAAATCTTGCGAAAATAATCATAATTATAGTTGAAGCTTTAGGTCTCGAGATAGAACAAAAAACTCGCGTTAGGTTTTTTTTTTTGATTTTGCTGCTTTCATTGATAGCAGTGGATCGGATTCTCTTCCAGACTCTTCTCTTCAATTATCACCTTAAAATTTTTAGCATCTAAATATGGAATTATAAACGAGGTTATATACTACGAAATTAAACAGTGTCACCATTATCCATCCAGAAGGATTAAATTGTATCTACAAAATTCCTTATAAATTAGATTAACTAGTATAAAATTTTTAAGCGGTAATATAAATTACATCTTTAAAATGAGACTAACGAATTTGATAAACATATATCAAATCAAATCTTATGAAATATACTAATATTTACATGATGTATGTTCTATTTGCATAACCTCCATGTTTTTCTGCTTAATATATATTCCATGCATTTTTCACTTGCAATCATCTAAAAATTTTTCATAACTGCCATTTTTGAAAATTTCATTTATTATTAAACATGAAATTATTTCAAATTCATTTGATTCATATTGTCACTGATTATTTATGATATTTCTTCCCGAAAAAAAACAAATAAAACTTTAATAAATAAAAAGTAATTTTAAAGTAATTAAAAGTAATTTTAAAAAGTAATAAATATTTTAAAATTTTTTTACCTTTTAAAAAATAAGAATGCTCAGCTAATTGAAATTAAAAACTAAATAAAACATTGGCGATACGGAAAGAATAATGGCAAAAGTTCGACCCTGGCAGGACTCGAACCTGTGAGTCGCCAGCAATACCCGTATTTTTACAATACAGGTTTACCCTGGGGAGGAATCGAACCTCAGCGTCGGCGCTTCCAATTGAGCAAAAACCCACTGAGCCATGATGAATTTCAATACGCTAAGCAATAAAATAGAACTTAATTAATTTTCGATGAAATTCCTTGGATTATTAAAGTTTCCTTTCTTTTTCTTCTAACGGTATTACTGGTTAAGTTGATTTCGCTGGCTAAAACGGTCTCGAAATTCCAAGCTGTTCGATACGACACTATCGCTGCTAATAATAAAAGCCATTTCTCTTTCCATCGTAGTCTAAGTACATATATCGCTTATCCATATAATACGCTCAAAATCTTTCCTGAAAATATCAGTTCAAATTCAGAATGGCTCATTTCGATGCCATCTATCAGCGGATTAACTAAGGAAATATGTGTCAACTCTTGTGAGGGTGAACAATAATGATGAACGTGGCCCAAACAAGCGAAGGCGACGCTCTGTGATGGTACTTCTTAATGGTTCTTTCTTTCGACAACATTGAATCGATTTCAATTGCCACTCGTTGTCGTGCATTTTACCATTTTCTTTAAATGATAGCGAAAATATAAGTGAAAATTTCCTTTATTTCCTTATTATTTGTATCATAAATAATAAAATGGAAATTTTCATGCATTTTTAAATAATCGCATAACAATAAAATTTTATTGAGCATCACTTGGCGAATTTGCGTTTTTCATTATTCAAATCAAATCGCATTTGGACTCCCATTTGGACTCCCTCAATAATTTCTAATCGCAATAATAAAAAAGCGTATATTCACATAAAAAGAGAAATTTGAATAAATATCGGCAAAAATTAAAACTTTTACTACAACTTTACTTTACTTTACAATAACTTTGCATTTTATTAAGAACAATCGTTAGAAATTCGATAGTTTCCACGAGGTCTGCCAGCGTGGCCGCTAATTATCGATTGGAGAGCACTGAGAAATTTTTAATTTCAAAAAAAAATTTTTATATTTACAAATCGTTAGCATAAAAAAAATAGGATAAATTGACGAAAAATTAAATTTGCTTCGTATCGATCTAAAAATAAATTAACGAGTAGAATAGCTGAGTGGAGTGGTTGCTGAATTCGGAGCGCCAACACTGAGACTATTCCACTCTCCGCACGAGTAAATCTATATGCTAGCGACTTACTCACCTACATAGTTCTATCGCTAAAGGACTTCCTGACCTATTCATCTGGCTAGCGCGACAAGACAGCACATCGACTCTAATCAGTAATGATGAGGATAATTAACCAAAAAAAACGTGAAAAAACGACTAGGAAAGAAAAAATGCTGGAGATCTGACGTGGACGATTTGTAGTAGTAAAAACCGACTTGTGAGGAAAACCTCTAATAATCGGCCGAGCTTCATTTACATTACCTTCGATATTGCTGTTTGGCTAGTTTTGGCTTATTTTGGCTTATTTTGAGGTTAGTTGGCAAATTTTTGTTGCTTAGTTTTTCTTATAATTTAGGCTCGTTTTTTTTCTGCTAAAAAAATTACTATTTAAATTTATTTCATTGGTAAATTAAAATTTTAAGTAATTTTAATAATTTTAATTTAATTTAATTTTAAGTAAATTTTAATATGTAAATTCTAATTCGTAAGAAAATAAAAAACGTTTTTATTTCTTTTTTTTTAAAAAAAAGATTTTAAATTATTTTACTTTTTTAAAAAAGGCGATTTTAAGCTATTTTTTATTTATTTTTATTTTAGATTGCTTATCTCTGAAATTTTCCAATTTTTTTTCATTTATTTTACCTTTGATTTTTTTTGTTTTCCTTAGAGAACGTAAAATTGTATCGTTTCTATGGGGTCTAAGGTCAAAAAACCACGTGAAATTTCCACGTGGCCTGCGAGTTCAAAAAACCATGTGAAATTTTTATCGCTTCCACGGAGTTTGCGAGGTTAAAAAAACACAGCGATTCAAGTTATGGAAATTAAGAAAAAGAAAAAGGAAATTTTTAGTATATTTGAGTTGACCACTATTATAGATAGATTCTCTGCCATTTTATATTAGTAGAAAAAGAATAAAAAAAAATGGCACTAGACACTGGGCTGGAAAATAGAAATTTATGGAACCATCTTTAGCTTCATCTTATTTTGCAGTAACTTAGTTTAGTTTAGTTTAATTTTATTTAAGTTTAGATTATATAGAAATTGTGGTAAATTGTGGTTTTTAACCGTTCAGGTTTGGCTACTTCATTTTATCCATTCTAAATAGGAAATAGATTTTTTGTAGATTCTGGATTTCTTTTTTCTGTTGGACTCGTTCCGCTGGTGCAGTTCTATTGGATCAAATTTCGGTTGTTCAACATTTTCAATAAATTTATTTTCTAAAATTTGGAATTTTATTTTGCAATTTAGTAGTGGATTTTTAAGAAAAAGAAGTTATAATTTGGCAATTTTTGGTAATTTTTACTTTGGTAAAATTTATTTTGCCGTGGTAATCAAAGGGTTATATTTTGCTTTGGCTGAATTTCATTACTGTAAAATCTATTAGCAAAGTCTATTTAAGATTAAAGAAGATGAATAAAATAAATCCATTTCGAAATTTATTTTTTCAGTTTGATAAATTTTTTTGATAAATTAATTTTTTGATAATTTTTTAAATTGCAGCTCATTAAAATCGACTGATTTTGAAGAAGAACATGCATTTGTTTCGTGGATTATGCGACTAATAACATTTTGTGGTACTCGACGATTCTTTTCGTATATATCGATGAATAAGGAAATGAGGAAAACAGCTGGAATTATTGGTTTGTTTTTGATCCACTTTGAATTCGCTAAAATGGTAAAGAATGAGAAAAACATAATAGTAATTGGCTTTGGTTTTTAGCCAAAAAAGCACCGATTTCCTATATTTTCTTTTTATATGAAATAGCTCTCAATTTGTCTGATATATTTGCTATATTAAAACCTGATAAATTTTGCCAGTGAGTCACTTGGCGATAGAAATACGGATAAGTCGCCGGCATCAGTCGAATTTTCGAAAGATTGATTTATTTTCTTTGCAAGTAGGACCCTCAACTTCAGCATTTCTAAATGGTAGCAACGATTCACTGAGCTGTTTGATCCTTTCAGTATTATGCTCAAAAAAATAAATTAAATTTCCATTTAACTTTGATGGTACTTACTGACCACTGATCAGTGAACTCAAAGCCTTAAAGTAGAATTGTATTAACCCATATTTACCCATACCATATGAATTCATTATTATCGAATTTTGATTATTTTTAGTTTCTGCCATACTACCCGATTCTTCCTTGGAACTTTTAGCAACTGGTAAAAGAGTGCAACAAGTTTTGAATCAGAAAGAGATATTTATCACTATAAGTTTTTAGCAATATCAAGGGATTTCAACTCGGCGATAGAGATTTTCGGATTAAGGAATAGTGGTTTATAATAAATTATCTGAGGACCGAAAAGAAATAAAACCTTTAAGCAAGTCTCTTATTAAATGGATTATAATAGTTTAACAAATTTCTCTAATATTCCCTTAACATCTTCAAACTGAGGAATTCATAAGAGACGTAAGAGATTAAAGCTATCTTATGATAACAGTATAAATTAATAGGTCTGATGAAGTTAAGAAAAAAGTGGGATTTCGAAAGAAGGGAACTTATAACAGATTTCTAGAAAGTTATGGAGATAAAGGGAGAGAATGGTCTCAGTGAGTTGTAATTCTTAATGACGATACTGAATACTGAAATACTGAAATTTTGTTCCCGCAGGAATAAACTGTGCAAAAATCCGGGTGACGGCTCACCTTTATTTCTATTGCCAAACGCCTCCCTGACATATTTGCCAGTGCGACAAGCCAGCGGAACAACCAGTAATGGTGAGGACTCCTGAAAAATATTGAGATAGGAGCTTGAAGGATTGAAGGAGGCTAAACGCATGATCTAGAAGGACATTACTGAAAAATTAAGATGGAATGGTACTTCGGAACTGGATTATACTCTAATGAAGAATAATTGAGCTTACTGATTAGAGGAAGCTATTTAATTTTGAAGGATTTTGGCATGTGGTTGGTCGATTTTTTAGGAAACAGATCAATTTTTTTAAGGAATTGCACGCGTATTTCTAGTTAATCTTATTCCAGTGTGCTATCATACAACCAATAGTCAAATACATTTGTCTTCTATTTGCTCTATATTTCAGTAATCGGCGATGAAATTTTAAAAGGATCAACTGCAGATACGAACTCTCATTTTTTATGCAAAACACTTCGGAATAAAGGCATTGTTCTAAAAAAGGTTCCGAAATTTCCAAACAAATTTAAAATTAGTTTAATGCGAACAAAAATTTATGTTTAATAGTTGTTTAAATAAATGAAAAACTAAAGACTTATTATTTAATAATTATTTTTCTGATTTTACTTACAGATAAGCGTTGTTGGTGATGATATCAATGATATTTCAAGAGAAATCAAAGAGTTCAGCAAGAATTATGATTTGGTTTTCACTTCAGGTGGAATTGGTCCAACTCACGATGATCGAACGCTTAGCAGTATGGTTTCAAGCTTTTGAAATTTTTTTCTAAAAACAATTATGAATACCCATTAGAACTATAAAATGTTCGAACCTTTTGCTTTTATTAATGGTATTTATTAGTGAAATTTTCCTTTAATCGCGGAGGATTGTTGTCTATCAACAGATGTAATTGTGGACTATCAAAACAGTCATTGATTCAATATCTATAGAAACAAATAAATAACTGATTAAGTGGAATCATCATAATCCCCAACGATAAAGATTTGATCATAGAACTGTATAACTGCCTTAACAGCCCAACAGACTTCACATATTTTTTAGCAAATTCAATCAAAAATCCATCTTATTTGTAATCTCTTTAACTTTTACCTTCATACTGTTACAGTTACATTAATTATTGGATTAATTTCATATTTAGACTTGGAAATTTTCATCGATATTTGTTATTTTTTTGAGAAAGAAATAATTTTAATCCATACAATTTTAATAATTTTAATCCTATTGCCATGTTAGAATTGCTTAATCAAATCTTAAGCGAAATATTTATCTAAACGAAAATATTTTTATTATTAATTTATTAAAGTTATTATAAATTTATTAAAAAAATTATTACAAATAATATTTGTAATTATATTTGTAACTGTTGTGAATGCACTGATAAAAAAAAATTCGTATCAAGATGCCAATGTGATATTTCTTGGAAAAAGTTCCAACTTTTCGCTAATTTTCAATAATCATAATGTTTTCTTTTGATATTATATCGTAGATTTACAATATATACAACTTGGTACAACTGTTTTTTAGATTATATTACTCTATTACTGGGTTATCCTTATTAACACTGATGTCTAATTTCGTTTTCTTTTCTATTAAATCTGGTGTATATCAAGAACTTAGCAATTTCAAACTTAGCAACCATAGCAACTTATCGAATTTAGCAATAATCCACTGTGGCATTTTATCACCAGTTTAGATAATTATATTGATAAAAATTTATAGGTCTTGCTACTGCTTTCAATGATGTTCTAGAACCGAGGAGGGATTTTCAAGAAGGGATTTTTAAAAAAATCGTTCGATCGGATTCTGTTTTAGCATTTAACGGTGCTTTAGAACATATGTGCAACGTTAGTTTTTTTCTCTTTGAATTAAAAAAAGCTTTTTTTTGTTGAATCGTTTATTATGAAAAGTTTGCTTATAGATTCCTAAAACTGCTGAATTACTGTGGTCAGAAAAATCTTCGTTTCCGTTAATTCGAATGCGCAACGTGATTGTATTACCTGGCGTACCAAAATATTGTATTAAAGGAATAAAGGAATTTGAAGTTTGATTTATTTATTGTATTGGATTCATTCATTTAAAATGAGTCAGTGAATCGTGCATTGACTCTACAAAATCGTATTGTGAATTAAATATCTTATCACTATATCTTATCTCTGATTTTTGTTTAAACAAAAAGGAAAATGGTTTGTAATATATTATTGATGCTACATTGGTGCATGAAATTAATGTAGTGTAGAGATTTCTGTTTACAAATTATTCTAATAGCTCGTACTCTTTCTAGGTAAGTTAGCTCCTCTTACCGCAATGTTTTCCAAGTTTCTCAGCCTATTGCAATACCTGAAAGCAAAAAAAGCTTTTTCCATCATTTAAATTATCGCTGGACTAATGAAAATTTCTTCTAACCATATTAATCTATGCACATCTTGATCAAACTTGTTTTTTGGTATCCATCAAACTTGGCATGTGGGAGATATTTGTTGATGACCGGCAAAAATTGTCCACAAGCTTTATGGCTTTCCATACAGCCATTCGTTCGTCCACATTTTTTCGATGCGTGCACATCTCAGAGCTAACTCAAGTCAGTTGATCATCAGTAACGAATTTCATCTCTAATCTCTAATGCTTTCAAGTTTACCTTCGCTTTAAAGTTTTCTGTATTCGCTTTACATGCTTATTACCTATACCACTATGTTGAAAGTAAAATGCATCTTACAGTACGTAAATTTATCATATAGGAATAGAGTTATAGCTTAATTCTCAGCAAGCATCTAGAATTTTAATCAAGAGAGAAGGAAAATAAGAAAAGAAAAAATAGATATGAAAAAAATATTTAAGAAAAAATATAATTTTAGAGGATAAATCGAAAAAAAATAGAATAATAAATCAAGAATAATAAATTCGAAATTTCATTTTTCACTTTAATTTTTAAAAATTCTGGAAGTAGACTTCGGGAAAAATATGATAGATGTGGCAATATGGAATTAATTTGTTGGCCATAACTTATTAGCCTTTTAGTATATATAGAAGAAAATATATCATCAAGCCATAGAGAACCATATTATGGATGGAACCATTTGCACCTATTCTCAAATGGCTTACTGTCGAATGATTCTTAGCAGCCTATCAGCAGAATTAGAAATGGTGCATATTGTTGTGGAAGATTTGGTATTAATAAACCGAAGCCATTATTTATTGTTCAATTTATAATTTTTATAAAATACTCGGCCACTATTAGACAGTAATTTTATAATACTCGAATTTCTAATTGAAGCTTGCTCTTATTGCTTTTAGGCTTAAACAGGTCATTGTAATGGCAATGTGTTCAATGCGAGGAAATAGAAATAGACTAACGAAGATAAACTATTAAATATATTGGAAGCTTTAGCAAATAATAGATGATAAATAGTTGGGTCAATAGTAAATTTTGTCCGATTATATAGTTATTTTATTTTAATTTAATTATTTTGTTTATTAAAATAATAATTTAAAAAAAAATTGTGTAAATTTTTTTTTTCGAAGGATTTTCTTATCACTATTGTTATTTAATTTATTCATATCTAAATGCGATATATTTATCATTCAATCTTTTATTAGTTAATCGACTAACCATCTTTAGAAGATATTTTTCAGATGTTTAGGCATGATGATCTTGATTTTTCGGTTTATATTATTAATATAATTTATATAATTTTGATATCAATATTATATAGTACTAATATTAATATTGATAATACTACTATTATCAGTTTATCTATTTTTATCTATAGTGTGCATATCAATGTAATTTAATATATTACTAGTACTAATACTAATATTGGTACTAACAATAATATATGAAAAATATAATATGGCAATTTTGATTGAGGATAAATAATACTGATTCGATAGCATTGGTTCGATAATGATAGAATTATTCATCTTAATGGGATTTGAATAGAGGACCATATCATGGACCCATTTGCACCTATTCGCAAATGGTTGTTGAAAGATTCTCAACAGCCTAATAGAAAAATTAGAAATAATGCCGTATTGTTGGAAGATTTGCTATTAATATATTTATAGGTCAATTAGTTAGCGGCATACGCGACTCAGTGCTATTTATTTTATGCATATTTTGTGATCTTTTTTGTAAAATATTTCATGTGCGACATGCATGTTGTTAAACGTGTTCCCACTGGGAATATTAGTCAATTTTAGTTGTAAGAAGTTTTTTTTACTAATTTATTTGATAATAAATTGTGTTATTCGTAAAGAAGGAAGATAGGCGATTATAAAGATACGATTGCTGTCTCTCCCTTCAATTTCGCATTTTTGACCAGTCTTGATCGGTCGGTGAGAATCCTCTGGATTCTACCATAAGCATTCGTATTCCTTCACAACTTCCTCATGTCTTGTTATGCTCTTATGCTTTGTTAATATTTCGAAACCACGTCAACTTTCTCTAATGATAAGACTTATTTCCAACTATCCTTTATCAAGTGGCAATAATTGCTCTTCAAAGATGCTCGCATACCCCAGTAGCGGAAATTTGTTTCGTTGATTTCCGTTTGACCTTTTTTTTTGTAACTAACTAATATTTCCCAGAAATTTATTTTTAGTGCTTGCAAATCTTGGTAAATATTGAAATTCTTCGATATTTCTTATAAGAATTTTCCTAAACTTTCCTTTATCCTATCAATTAGTGGTAATATATTTGAACCAGTTTCTACCACTTTAATTTCTCATATCCAATCAGATACGACTCATCTTTATATTGGTCCTATATTGCGCTGTCGGTAAATTTTCACCGTGCCTCGGAGGCTCAAACTTTAAATCTTATGCAAATCTAAAGCGATGTATTAAGAGATTTAAGAGATTTTATGGATTATATGGATGAGGGAAATACCAAAAAAAAGTTTAACCTACATAAAGAAAATCTCTTAATATATGTCCTTAATATTTTTTGAAGAGTTTAAAAGGGAAAGGGTTTTCACGGCGAAAATTTTCGAGACCCATTAATTTAATATAATTTTATATGGACCGACTGTGATTTATTTTATTTTACTTATATTTTGATTTTAAAATATTTTAAATATCAATAGAAAGTTTTTATTTCGAATTTTTAATGGAAAAAATTTTCTTTTTTTCAGAGAATCTGTTTTAAAAAAATCTAAATTTTTCCATATTCGATTTGCTTACTCTTATTTATTTTCATTATTATATATATTTTATTCATTTTTTATATTTTTATTTATTTTCAGGATATAATATTTCCTAAAATATTGCCATTTTTTTTTCGAACTATTTATATCAAATCGAACGAATTTGGATTTTCGAATATTGTTTCGCAAATCGCAAACAAATATAGCGAATTTGTTTCTATTGGATCCTATCCAGTTACCAATAATAGGTTATTTTATTTTTATTCTCTAATTAAATTTATAGAATTTTTTTCCTCTAATTTTATTTTTATTTTAATCTATGAACATTGAAAAATTATTCCATAAATTTTGTCTGAGATATTTTGTCTGAGGATTGTAAAGAATTTAGTCTTTTATAGTCGGAATTGTTAAAGTTGTGTTAAAAAATGGCATTAGGAGGGAAGAGGAAGAAGAAGGATGATATAATTTGCAAATGAATGACTTTCTTTTTTTCCCCTTTCCTATGAAGTCAGAAAAAAGTATCTTATAAAAATAGTTACTTATACTTCTCTGTATAATTCTGAGCTATCATTTTATCAATTAATGAAACTTATCAACATCAGATAATAAAAAAATTTATAACTATCCAGTTAATTTCCAAATGAAAAAAGGAAATTCATTAGTGGTATTGAATTTTATTAATTTATATGATTTATCAGTTATCAGATTTATCAGATATTATCAATTCATATATTTTGAAAGTTCAGGTGATAATAATTTTTTCCAATTTATCAGTTTTAATTTTTATGCAAAAATTTCTAATGATATTGAATTAAAAAATTGAAATATGACAAAATTCGTTTACTTTTTAAGCGAAGCATTCTTTCATAATGTGTCAAAATCAGGATGAAATCGCATGACTGAGATTTTTTATTGATCTTCCATGAAACGAGTTTAATTTGGTAATAATTATTTGGGCAAAATTTTTTTATTATTTTGTTTGGATACAGAAATAGCATCGAATTAAATCGGATCGAAAGCATCGAATTCAAAATTATTTAAAATTAACCCCAATTATATTAATAATAATAACGATTTATAATTATTTAAATAGTTATAATGTAAACTTATTTATTATTTATCATCAATATTTATCGATATCAAATATCGATTAATATTTATTATTATTTAGATGCGTTTTACAATAAAAATTTTTTTTATGGTTTTCAATTTATAAAATAAATTTTAGATATTATAAAGCAAAACTAATTGTTGAAAGCGAATCTGCGAAAATAGGCGAAGAAGCAATGAAAGATTTAAAAAATGCTTTAAAAGGTTTTATTTTTCAAATTTTTAATTCGAATTTTTTCGATTGATTTCAATTTTCAAATTTTTAGAATTTTTGCAACAAAAATTTCTTCTTAATTAAATAATCATTTCATTCAATTTATTCAATTTATACAGTTTATTTTATATAAAATTATGGAGTAATAAGGCAATTTTTTTTGATTTTTATTTGATATATATATATATTTGTTTTTAAAATTTAAGTTTTGAATTTTTTGATATTTTGCTACTTAAAAATTTAATATCGATTTTCAGATCATATAGTTTATTATGATGATAAAGCTTGGGAAAATGTTGTTGAAAAATATAAATCATATCGCGAACGCGAATTATTTGAATCTTCAGATGATTTTATAAAACGATTAGACGATGCAATGAATACAATTGGAAATATTATTGATACTTATCCGTGATTTTTTTTTGTTTTTTATATTTTTTTACTAGTTTTAAATCAAACATATATTTTTTAAATTTTTCTAAATTTATAATTTTTTTCGATTTTGAATATTTATAATAGATGACTTTTTATTTTTTTTCACTCTACTGATAAGATTTTGGCTATGGCTTTTACATGAATTATAAGAGATATAAAAAAATTATAAGTTGCAATTTTTTTCACCAAATAACTAATAGAAAGCTATATATGGCGAAATTTATGATTTAAATTTCATGCATATAGATTTATTTATTTATTTATTTATTCATAGATTTATAATTCTTTTAACGATAACGCCATTATTAACGATTTTATAATAGCAAACTTAAATTTTTACAATTGTCTTCATATTGTATTTTCAATTTTTCAGTTTGGAAAATATTGCACTTTCATTTAATGGTGGTAAAGATTGCACTTTATTATTGCATATGTTAAGGGTTAAGGTCGATGAGTTAGTTCTTTATTCTATTATTCTATTATTTTTTCTTAGTTTTGCTCTTTTATTTATTATTTATTGTTGGTATAAATTAGGCAGAAAATGAGAAAAAAAGAAGATATTATGGACAATTAGGGTCATGAAAAAAAGCCTAAACTTAAGCTTTGGAACATTGGAAATTGTAGAGGAAGAATGAAACGGTGATCGAAATTCGATTATGCAATTTATACCATATTTTATTTTTTAAATCGTTCAGATTTTCCAGATTTCTGGGTTTTTTTGGCAGAAAATTTTCCTATTGCAGAAAATATGGATCAGATCGTTCCATTCAAGGTTTTCATGTCGTATGTGGTGATTTATTTCCGGACGTTAATCAATTTATAATCGATTCCGCAAAAAAGTTTATATTTTTATGAAGTTTATTAGTTGATTTATTCCACTAAGACTGAAAATTTATTTGTATTAGCCCATTTGATGATCCCATATAATTGTAAAAAACGGTCAGATTTACAATAATATATCGATAATAGCTTGGGCTTGAATCCGGGCAATATAGAAGATTTCGACGAGCGGTAATTTTCGGTGAACGGTGCATACAAGCTATCTTTTACTTGAAAGTTAACGTTTAATTAATTGATTTATCATTTATCATTGATGATTAATGAAAGACAAAGTAGTTCGTCATAGCGTATCTGTGTAAGCTGATTCCACGGACTTTTTAGAAATTTTGGTTTATGGTTAAGAATTTTCACAAGAAAATTATTTGACGATAGAAATACAGGGTGAGTCACCAGCACCAGCTGTCAAATTGGATTTTTTAATGATAGATTTCGAAGCAATTTCGAAGCAAAATTCGAACTTGATGTTTGGGATGAATATCTGAGCGATAGCTTCTTGCTTACTATTAAAAGTGGTCTAAACGAAAATATTTACATAATTATTTATTAAATTCATTTTTCTGTCTTTTTCAAATGTCATTATCTTTTCTTAACTTTTCCTAGCTTGCAAAATTAAAGAAAAAATGAAAAATATCTTTTAGAAATTGATTCTTTGTTTTTTGATTTTCATATTCAGTAAGCTGAAATTTTAGGAAGCTTTATATTGTCCTTTTTTAGTTACAATATTGTTGTACTGGAATTGCCTGGGCCAATAAAAGCCGGTCTTGAACAGTTAAAGGCTGTAAGACCAAAAATTTCTGTTATACTAATGGGAAGTCGTTCAACTGATCCTGGCAATATGAATTCGAAATGTGAGTGGACTGATCCAGGCTGGCCAAAATATTTTAGGTCAATTAATTAGTTTTTTTTAATATTGTTTCTTTTCTTTTGGAATATTTCTATTTGTTTTCTATTTATTGTCTTTCATAAAAATATTTAATTTTAGAGTTTGCCCGATATTAGATTGGAATTATGCGGATGTGTGGCGAATGTTGCGAGGTTTATGTATTCCTTATTGTTCGCTTTATGATGAAGGTTATACATCACTTGGTGAGAGGGATACGACTTTCAAGAACGATGCTCTAAAAGTGGTTGATTGTGAAGGTCAAATTGTCGGCTATCGTCCAGCTTACATGCTAACAAATTTTAGTCTTGAACGCTCTGGTCGAAATGAACGTCGATTTTAAATAATCTATAACAGTCTATCTTTAATATAAATTTTTAAGTGGCTTAATAAGAGATTAATAGGAAGAGATTCATAATTTTGTTATAATATAATTGAAAACAATTTTTTATTCATTTTATACATATAGAATTTTAATTTATTTTCTAAAATTTATAAGTTTAATATTTGATTCTCGGATTGATTCATTCATCTCGTTTCACTTCTTTTTGTTTTTTTCTCAAATTTTAATTGTAGGCGATTAGTTAGAATTTTATTTCCATTTTTAAACCAATGATTTTTGTTATGATTTGTTATGATTTGTCTTTTTGTAATGATTATTCTTTCTGGAGCATGCTGGTTGTGTTGACTACAAGAGTGAGACATTTTCAAGCAACTATTGGTCGATTTTCGTATCGAAAAGCAACAGAAGCCATTCATTTTTCCCTCTTCTAAGTTATAACATTGGGCCAAATTCAAAATCTCTTCTGATTATATCAGTCCATCGTTTCTCTGGTCCTTATTTAGCATAATATGTGTTTAATTACTGATAAAAATAGCATAGCCTAACCAGCATAGGCAAAGTTCTGTAACGATTTTGAGGTATTTTGATCATTCCCACCAATGGAGGTGGTATTCGAGCGAAGTTAGCATGCAAATGGATATGAAAATCTATCTATCCACTCGGCGAAAATGTATTATAAATTTTGGGTGGGAATGATCAAAAATAGATAGTTTCTTTCTTGATATTCTCCGCTTTCATTTACAATATTTTCTAGTCATATAGCGCAGATTAGGTGCATTGCATTGGACAAAAAATAAATATGGTTTCATTTTAGGAAATAGGGAATGATTGGTTATTGTTGAAGATATTCTTATAAATATGGTTGTAATTATTTTTTTATAGTTTTTGTTTTATTTCTTTTTTTTTCAATTTTTTAATGGGTGTTTAGCAGTTTTATTTATTAGTATTATTATAATATAAATTTAACATTTTATTTATTCAATAGAATAAATAAAATTTTTTTGTTAAAATTATTAAATTATTATAAATTTTTTTTGAATAAATTTTTTTGCTAGCATTGAATAAAAAAAAACGATATTTTTTTTTCGGAAATTTAATTGTGGTTTCCTCTTTCGTTATAGATTATTGCATAGTTCGATCATACAAGTAAAAAAAATTTTATTGGAAAAGGACAAATTGGATTTTTTTTCGCGAAAAATGATATTGGTACTAATTTTTGTAATTTCTTAAGAAAAAAAAGCGTATACAAGAATTTCGTATTAACTAAAATCGGATGGTCGGATGATAATAATTTATCACGGAATTATTGAGCTAAAGAAAGGAGAAATACGCTATCACCGAATTCATGATAAATATGCCATTGATTGCTCTTCTACTTTTAATATTTCAAATTGTTCAAGCTTGGCTCCAAACAATGAAATATTTTCGGCTATAATATATTTTTATGGAAAAGAAGAATTTTTCTAACCTTCACTCATATTTTATTTTTTTAATAAAAAAAATATATAGAATAAAAAGATAGAAATAGTCAATTTAATTAGAAATATTTTATTGCTTATTATTTTTCAGTTATTTAGTGATAATATTTATTAATGATTTTTATAGCGTATTTATCATTGTTATCAGCATTCAATGCATTATTGCATTAATCAATTTTTATCATATATTTTTAATTTAATTTAATCCCAAGCAGTATTTTAAGTATTATTTTTTTTAATAAATTCTTATAAAAAATTTTAAATTAGTTTTAAAGAATTTATTTGCATTTATTAAAATTTATACGAAAATTGAAAATACTTAATTTACATTAATAATTATTTAAGAGAATCTTTTTTTTCAAAAAAAAAATAAATCAATTTATATTTATTGAATAATTAAATTGAAAGTTTAAAAAATTCAAAAGAACTTTAAAGGAAATAAAAATTACTTAAATTTATATTTATTATCGAAATTTAATAACATAAAATAAATAATTAATCGTATTTGAAAAAGATTTAAACTATTATTAAAAATGAAATCCGATTTATTTTAAAAATAGTAAATTTATTGGTGATAATCTGCACCATTTTTCCTTAAATAAACTCTCCTCAGGTGATTTAAATAAATAAATATAAATATATATTTATTTTAACCAAATAAAAAAAAAAGAGTTGATAGATATCGATGCGAGTCTTTACTTGTTTGCTATTTAGTTGAAAATTGATCTTTGCTTTAATTTATTGAAATTTATGTTTGGTCTACTAATGCGACCCCCTTTTCATCGCATCCCGTTTATTTATTTTTTATAAAAACTATTCATAGTAAGTGATATTGCAAATATATAACATGCATGCATATCGTATTCGTAAAAATTTTTATTAATATAAAAAAAATAAAAAAAAATTTTATAGAGAATATTTCGATTTTTTTTTATTATATTTTTCATGTTATCAAATTTGATTTCTTATCAGTGATAATCTTTTAAATTTGTTTCTCTAAAATTAAAATTTTAATTTGTTTATTGATAATTCGAGATTTATAATTGTTTATGTTCATATTTTTAATACAGTCAACGATGCTTTTATTGGAGAACAGGTTAGCCGAGTATCATCTCGAACATCAATGTTCGAACTTGTGAAAAAGGAAAAGTTATCATAATGAAATTTTGATAGCTACAAGCTGGTGAATCAGTGTGTGATTTTTAGCGATCCGCTGGCATAAATCTCTTTACCGTAGGAATAGACAATTGAGTGAACCTCATCAAAAATGGTTAACCATAGCGCTTATCATTTATTTATCACTTATCGATTATTTTACTTTTATTCTACTTCTACTAATGTTTTATCATGTGTAATAAAATGATTTCAGACATTTGTATAATTGTTAATAATCTATTTTAGTGCAAGTAGAATAGGTTCGATTTAGGTGTCTTATTATTATTATTATTATAAACAATTTACTAATTATTACTAATGAGACCTACTATATTACTGTATCCTTTCATTTTACTATTGTCCTCATATAGTCCTCTGGATCATCTAAACTTCAGTTGTTTCAATGTTCAGTGCAGCGGACACGAGACCACAAACAATACGTACTTAGAAATATCACAAAGATCAATTTCAATCATAAATCTTTCAATAATTCTTAAAATTTTTTTTTTCTTTTGCAAGCAAACTTCTACTTCGATTTCGATTTATATTTGTATAATCCTTTTTAATTTATTTTTATTTATGATATGATAACAATGGAATTTCTTAAATTTTTTGAACAAATGATAAATTGATAATGATTGACAATTTTCATTTCATTTTTACAAAATTTACAACTTTTTACAAATTTACAACTTTTTACAAAATTTTACTAATTTTTCTAATTTTACTAATTTTGTTGAATTAAAATTTGAAATTTAAAAAAAATTTCTAAAATTAATAAAATTTTAAAATTTTCTAAGTTTTCTAGCAAAAAAAAATTAAAGATATTTAATTTATATTAAATGAAATAATTAGATTTATCTAACGAATTCAGAGAAAAATCATATTAGTTCAAATTGCTAAAATATTTAATTTTTGCCAATTAAACATTCTTAGTGACTCTGCTTTATGCACCACAATTCTCAAATGAATCTCTCGTAACTTAGCTTTAACAATGAATTTTAACAGATTTTCTTTCTTGAAGTGCTGAATAAAGACTCATTATATGAGATAGATTCTGCTTTTAGTAATCTCGTTTATCTATAATATCGGCCTGCTTGGCAGACTACTGGATCTATGGAATATGGAATATATGCTTATCACTGCTGGTTAGGCTCTCTTCGCAGCCTATATATATATATATATATAAGTATAGAACATAGGCCAGTGTAATCTTTATTTTTATTAGAAATACCGAGAATTATAAATAAAAATAACTATTAAAATGTTTCGAAATGTTTATTAAATCTTAAAAATTTAATATTATTCCATTCTTATTCGTCGCATTTATTTGTTGTTTTTTTTTGGAAATCATTAAATTAAAATTATATTATATTTATTAAAAATAATTGAGATATGAGATTTTTCAATTGTCACAGTTTCGAATTAATTAGCATTAAAAAGATTAAATATAATATAAATTAAATATAAATATAATACAATTGCCATTAGGGGATAGAATGGCTCAGTATGTTGTTGCTCAATTGGCGGCGTCGATGCTGAGTTCGATTCCTCGCAGGAGTAAACCTGCACAAAAATCCGGATGATGCTGGCGACTCACCTGTATTTCTATCGCCAAGGGACTCCCTGGCATATTGCTCAATTGCCACAAGCCAGTGGAGTGGAGTTTAACCAGTAATGTGAGGACTCTTCAAAAAAAAATACACATTACCATTAGGATTGCATTTTTAGCGACAAATCTCAGAGATCTCGTATCATATCAGATAATGTAAATTGAATTTATGTTGTTTGATCTTATATGATTTAAAATATTTATTAAGATATATAATTTTCGATTGAATGAGCTAATCGTCGAAAATATTCTTAAGCTGATTTTTAATTTTTACTTTTGTTTAATGTTCAATAAATATATTCCTTCTCTTATCTTTCTAAATGCTATGTTAAATTTTTCTTATCATATGGCGTAAGATGCTTTAAACAAATTTTTCAAGTGTTAAATCTGATAATAGACTTAATTTTGCCTTTTACTGAGGTATTCAAGCAGAAATTTTAGAAATTCGCAAAATCATCGCCAAGGAAAATAAATTTAAAATAAATTTAGCAAAAAAAATCGAGGAACCAACTTATATGAACCAACCTGTGAAGACAACAAAAAATTATTAGCTCTTATCATAACGTTATCACACCATGTTTTTTCTTATTCGAAACTTTTATCATTTAAAAATAAAATATCTTCAATTCATTTGATTTTGCAATCATTAGATTATCTCTATTCATACAGTATGGAAAAGAAAGATAATAAAATGGGCGTTTTTGGTGCGGTTAGCTATGTTATTGGGAATATTGTTGGATCCGGAATATTTATTGCACCAAAAGCGATTCTTGAAGAAACGAATACGGTAAAATTTATATTTATTTATTTTAAATATTCGATGGAATCTAATAAGTGTAATCACCGTAAAAAATAGCTACCAAATTTAATAATAAATAGGCGTATCGAATTGTTTTGTAATTTAGTCACTTTATAATTGGTTATTTTTTGAAATTTGAGACCAGAAATTTAATAGCTATGAGATTTTTAGTATTTCCTAATAGTTAACGAAGTGAGAAGAAATTTTCTTTTTTTATAAAATTCCCAATTATAATTTCCATAAAAATAAATAAAAATAAAGAAATGAATTTAATGAATTTATATTATAAAGTGACGATTTGGCAGTAAAAAATGTAATAATAAAAAATGTTTTTGACATTGTCAAATTTTTTTTTGACATTTTTTAGCGTTTATTTTTTGACAAATTGAATTGAATATGAAAGCTTTATTTTCTATGCTTTCACTTATTCGATTAATAATAATATTTTAGCTATAATACTATAGCGTTTATTATTGTTAAATCACTATTATAAGTAAGTCAAACATTAACTAAAATATTGAAAATCCTTAAAAAGATAGTTTAATATTTAGCTTAATTGCTTGGAAAAAATTATATTCGCAGACGATAGATAGCAAATATAAAGATTCTCTTGGATTTTTGGATATTGTGCTATCAAAAAAAAATCCTGAAAATTTAAAGCAAATTATAGGTAGGTTTGGCTTTGGTCGTTTGGGTGGTATCTGCAATAATTTCTGTTATTGGCTCATTTTGCTATGTCGAATTAGGAACGAGTATTAAAACCTCTGGAGCTGACTTTGCATATCTTTGCTATGTGAAATGGTTTTAATTGATAATTGATAATTTCATTTTTCAAATCACATATATATATACGAATCAATGCACCACTTTCTATAGACTTTTTGACTATCCATTATCCATCCATTTTGTATTATTCTATACTTTTCTTTTCGAAAATCCATAATTGAAAAACTTAACGATATTATCCAATAAATTATCCTTAAAAAAAAAAAAGAGAAAATCATAAAAAAATAAACATAAAGCTGATAAACTGATAAAAATAAAAATAAAATTATTAAATCGTTGAATTTTAATCGCTTCAATTTTTAGGTATCCAATCGCATTTGCGTTCATGACTATCGGCTGTTTGCTAACTTATCCGGCTACTTTAGCGATACAATCATTGACATTCAGTGAATATATTATTAAAGGTATCGGTGTTAGAATTGCCGATCCAATATTTGAAGATTTCGCTAAAAAATTGATTGGATTTTCTCTTTTATGTAAATTTCCTTTATTATTTTTTATTTCAAAACTGTGATAAAAGATAATTTCCTTTTTTTTAAAAACTCTTACCATTAATGATTAGATTCGCTTCGCTGACTTGTCTCATTAGACAAATATGCTAGGGAATCTCTTGGCGATAGAAGCACAGGTGAAGTGCGGTTAGTGGACAGCATCACTCGAATTTTTGGACAAGTTTACTCCTGCAGGGAATAGTAATTCAGCATTGGCGCTCAGAATTGAGCAACCCACTGAACCATTCTGTATTATCCATGATAAAATATTTATTAGGAACGGTGATGACTGAAGAAATTATAGAAAATTGAATTGAGATAATTATCTTTAAAATCGAATTTATTTGAGAACTGATAAGCGTAAATCTCAGAGACAATACTTACTTATACTTATACTTACTTATACACATTGGTACTCAAAAGTAATGCTTGAATATTTTTCGAATTTTCAGGGCTATTGATGTTTTTGAATTTCTTCTCACTAAAGACATTTGTCTCAAGATTTCAAATATTGGCAACGATAGCGAAGATAGCTGCAACGGCGATAGTGATCTTAACAGGATTTTATTTCCTTATTTTTAAAGGTTACGTATTTCCTCCAAACAATCTTTCATAAAATCTTTTGCTATTATGAATTTCTTATAAAAATATTGGTTCTTCTCGGCTTAAAAACATTTATATTAATGGTTAATGCGATTCAAATTTTAGAGATCTTTAATCCGCTTCGAATCTCTCTATTACAATTTAAAAAAAAAAATAATCATTTATCAAAAATTGTTATCTATTTATTTATTTAAGGTGAAACAGAAAATATCGCTGAACCTTTTGCACATACACAGTTTGATATTGGAGCATTTGTTACAGCATTATTTGCTGGACTTTATTCATACGACGGTTGGGATATACTTAATTTTGGTGCTGAAGAAATCAAAAAACCGAAAAAGTATTCAAATTTTATTCATAAAAAATGAAATAAAAATTCGATGCTTTAGCAATACAAAAACCATTTTATTATTTTTAACAGTTGTTTTTTTCGATACATAAATAAATCATTTGAATGTTTTTTTCTTAATTTTTTATTGAAAATTATATTTAGCGAAATATTTTATAACTAAAATAATATTTATATTATTTCATTAAAATTAAAATTAGAAGAATCACTTTTTAGAACAATGCCGTTAGCCATAATAATTGGAATGTCTATAGTAGCGATAATTTTTCTATCTATAAATTTGGCATATTTCGTGGTACTCGATGTTGATCAAATCAAAGAATCTTCTGCCGTTGCATCCGTAGGCAACTATTAATTGATTATTTTGCATCTTCATGATTTTATTTTTTCGATAATACGCACCATATGGTTCCATCCATTTTCATTAGACTCTTTCGTCAGAGTTCCCTTAGGGATGAAAGTATTTATACGAATTTCGCAAAATTGCAAAAAAGCTAGCTAGCAAATGCCATTATTTATTTTTTCCGTTTCAAATATGAGCTATAAGCTGAAAAAATTTTATCCTAAAAACCAATCGAGAAATAATTCATTATTAGTATTTTCAGGCATTTGCTAAAGCAAAACTAGGAAATTTCTATTACGCTGTACCTTTCCTAATTTGTATTTTACTTATTGGATCATTGAATAGTACGATTTTTGCTGCTAGTCGGTGAGTTGAGTCTCTAATTTATATATGTCTTCGTCAATTAATTTTTATAATTGAGTGAATTATTCTGATTACTTTTGATTAACACACAGATGAACAACATATAATATGAACATACGGTATAAGGGAAAGTATGGCTTAGTGAGTTATCACTCTTCACTGTTTTGGAACACTGATGCTAGGGTTCAAACTCCCGCAGGAGTAAACCTGTCTCTTACAAAAATCCGAATGACACCTAGAGATTTAACTGTATTCTCTATCATCAAGCGGAAAATTTCTTTGGTTCAACAAACCAACAGAGTGAGCCAATTTAAAAATGGTGAACGAATTAAAATAATTAATTTCTTTTTGCTAGTGAATATTTTTTTCATTACAAATGGCATTCAGTTATCTATATGCAGCGTCACGACAAGGTCATTTACCTTCATTTATCAGTTGTTCAAACACAAAAACAGATAGTCCTCGAGTTGCAATATTCCTTTGTGTATGTGGATTTTCTATTATATGAATAACCCCCCAAAAAAAAATTATCAGTTAAAAGAAAATAATCAGTTAAAAAAAAATTATCAGTAAATTTCTATTAATCTATCAATATGTCCTAATAGTTCATGTTCTTAAAATTTTTCACCTTTATTTTCCAACAGAAAAAAAATCTAATTTACCTATTACCATATTAAAGTTCCATCACCACTAAATTCTTTGGTGAAAGAACTATGTGAAGAGATTTTTTTGCACCACAGAAATTCACCTTTCATGATAGGTTTACTCCTCTCAATGAATATGAACAATTGAACAAATTAATTAATCATAATGCAATAAATCATTAAACGAATGATAAAATTAGTTATTATATTTTTATAAGAAAAATTATCATTTATTAGATTTTTTGAAAATTTCTCATTTTTTTACTATAAATAGATTTTTCTATCGATGGCGGTGTCATTTGTTGGTGATTTGGATACATTGATAAGTTATGTTGGTTTTGCTCAATGGTCACAACGAGCATGTACAATGATAGCATTATTGTGGATACGATTCCGTCATAAACCCGTTGATACGAATGCTATACGTGTTCCAATTATTATGCCTACTATATTTTTGCTCATTTGCATGTCTTTGGTAAAAATCTCTTAAACTAGCTAACTTTTATTATTATTATTATTATTTTATTATTATTTATATAGTTGAATTTAGAGATTCGTTGCTAATATTTAGGTGATTGTGACAATAGTAAGCCGATTTCACATATCGAGAATTGGTCTCATCGTTATTACAGCAGGCTTTATTACATATTTTATTTTCATCTACGAACGATCACTTCCATCGCTCAAATCGTTTCGACAATTTTCATTTGCATTCGATAGTTTGTCGAAAATTTTTATCTAATTTTTATCTATTTATAAATTATAAAATTATAGATATATAAAGATAATTTTTTTGTTTTTTTTAAATTGAATTTTTATTAATTTTTATTAAAAAAAGAAAAAAAATCTTATGATTTTAGATGCGACCACGATTTTTTGCCAAATTATTTTCAACGGAATGCCACAAAAAACCGAAGAAAATCGTTTAAATGATGAAAAATTGAATAAAGAACAATTATTTTCCATTTTTAACGAAAAGCCAAATCATATCGAACATACAAGGATGCGAAAATCATTTGTCTATTGTAAAGAAGATCCACCAATATATATATCAACTAACGAATCTAAATGAGCAAATTATGAAAATTTCCTACTTTGCTAATCCATCAAAATTAGCAATTCCTTGTATAAGCGTATAAAAATACTATATAAATATGATGTATTATGTATAAATATTCTTGCGATAAACAGCTTTTCATTTACGCAAAAAATGCATCTCTCACCAGTCGAGATTTATCGCGATGGCAATTTCATGCGAAAAATTTTCCATTTTTCTCCTCCATTTAAAATCAAAAAAAAAAAAAAAAAACAACAATGGATATGTTAATAAGAAGTGTCTTATAAAAATTCATCTTATCAAACCGAAAAAAAATATAAGAAAAAGATATAATATAAAGACAAATTCTTATAAAAAAAGTAATAATTTTTCATTAATCACGCATAAATAATAATAACATGAAAAATATTTGACTAAAATATCGACTAATATTAAATGAAACTCCAGAATTCATGCATATCAAACTCAATCAAAAAATGAAAGAAAAAATTGAAAATTTAAAAATTTGCGCAAAAAAATGTATGAGATCGGTAAGAATTTATACATAAAAGATTCTAAGAGATCTAAAAACAGATCGATTCACGCAAAATTTAAAAAGATTTCCCGTAGGATTCCCATAGGAACTAAAAATAAAGAAAAAACATAAGAACCACAAAAAGAACTGATCTTGTATGCCTTGGGGACATCGGAACTTCAATTTTTATTTGTTTTCATATTTTTACTTCATTATCTATCATAGTTTTATCTATCATAGTTTTAAAATTTTAAAATGGATAGATTAAAAGGTCATGAAATTTTTAGAAATAATTTTGAGAGATCGATAATTTAAATGAGATCAGTGGTAACATACGCAAATTATAAAGATGCTAAAAATAAAAAGCGATATCTTTGGTCTGGTAATATAAATAAATTGTGTAAAAATGATACAAAACCTATAAAAATGTGCCCCATTTCTCCAAAAGTTCAGCTTTAAGTTCCGGGCCCATTTGACGATAATCTTGGTCCGCAGCCAAGCTACGGAATACGTCAATCGAAATTGTATCAAATAATGCTTGTTTTATTTCAGCCATTCGATACTGCTCCGCTAAACGAATTGCATGCATCACCGACGACGAAGAGAGCTAAAACCAAATCACCACTAATGAATGGGAATTTAAAATACTAAGAGAAAAAGTTAACTGGATTATACTCTTTGAAAAAACATTTTAAGCAAATAATGTTATAATGACAATAATAAATAATAAACAATGATAATAAACAATAGTAGTAATAATAAATATAATAATAATATACAAGAATATAATAATAAGAATAATAAATATATAATAATAATCAATAAGAAATAACAATAAAAAATAAAAAGAAAAAAAGAACAATGATAAGCGACAAAAAATAACATAAATAATAGTGATGATAGTAACGACAGAAATAACTAATAGTAATGATAAATGATAATAATAAATAATGATAAAATTTTCTCTAACATCTTTTCCTTCCGTAAGAAATGAAATACTATAAGGTTACCTTGTCCGTAATGAAACTTTGACAGTGGGAAAATAATGGCTTTATTTTAAATTTGTCAGCAATGTATATCACATTATCAATATTCTTTTCTAAAAAACTGACCAAAATTATATGAAAAAAAATCTTACGAGGAAAAATAATTAAAAATATATAAATATAACAAAAATTTACCATCCAAAGAAAGTCGTCCTCGAAAGACTTCCATTGTCTCATGAAACATTAAAGGATCAACATTAGCTTCTAATGGAACTTCAGTAGTATTACTGAAATACTGGAATAAATTTGCGAAATAATGCGAACTTCTCGAAAGAATCTAAAACTAAATTTTATTTAGCAATTTAGGAGAACCACTTTAACCATCAATGCATACAAATAATATAATAAACTTAAATTCAGGAAAATATTGCCGAATTTTAACATTAAAAATCCAAAGGTTAGAAAATTTAAAATTTAAAATTCGAAAAGTCAACTCTAAAAAAAAGATCAAGTTTTGAAGGAACAAAAAAAAAATTTTGTAGTATAAATCTTCAAAAAAACGCCAATTCCGAATATGAGGATAAAAAAAAGATGAATAACAGGAATATTTAGCAGAATATTTACTAAATACTTCATTAATCCTTAAATATTACAAATTAAATAAATTAATAGAGATTTTATAAATTAATAAAATTATCGATAATTCCGCATCGTTAATTAAGAGCTTAAATTCGCACGGCCAAATAATGGCTCATTTCTTCTTTTTCTAACAGCTCTAACCATTATTAGTTAGGCTGGCTCCGCTGGTTATAAGGGTAAGACGTCTCCAAGCTGCTCGACGCCATCGCTACTAATAATAGAAGCCATTCCTTCTTTCATCGTCTAAGTCCATATATCGCTGGTCTCCCTATATGTTCAAAATTTTTCCTGGCTGTATCAGTCCAGGTCTTGACTGGCTCTCTTCGCTTTTGGTGCCAACCATCACAAGCTTTAGCAAGTAACGAAATATGCGTCAATTCAAGGGAACCAGCGAAGTCGACGCTCTATGATAACATTATTAAAACAGGTGGTTGAGCGAAGATGGATTACAATCATATGCGATTTTATCGACGGATCTATAAAATATATCTAAGACATGAGTGGTCAAAGACTATTAGCTTATTGGTATCTTCCACTCTCATTGGCCGTATATCGTAGCCATATAGGAAGTTCAAACAAAATGCATCTATATGGACTCGTCATTATGGCAATTTTGCAACGGTTCCATAGGGATTTCATCAGTTGGAGAAACATATTTCTAAACATATTGAATATATTTTTTTTTAACGGTTCATCCACAATAATTAACAATAACTATAAGCCCTCACCACTGTGACTATTCCTACTAGCTGGGATCTTCTAGTAAGCAATTGTGAATTACATTGTTATTAATGCTGTTCGTATTCGCTATTCACTTTGGTCAATATATAGATTTCAATAAAATTATTCAGTTTATCTTCTAAAAACCAAGCCAAGAAACCTTTATTCGAAGAAACTGGCTGACACAGGCATATTCAAGCTATATGATCCAATGATATAGATAATAGATAACGATAATAATTTTATCATGCAACGTACGAAGATTGGAAAGCACATCAAAATCAAAGTAAGTTATTTATTTATAATAGAATTAGCTGGCCCTATAACATAATTCATGCCGAAAAATAAAAAAACTAACGGATCGACAGACACAAATTCGAAAGTCACCAATAACAATAGCACAGTCATCAGTCCATTTCAACTGATCAGTATTTCCTAAATTTATAGACTCCAAACTGACCAATCTGTAAAAAATTTTTTTATAAAATATGTTGAAAAAAAAAATATTTTGAGTTTTACAAATAATTCCTGTCAAATTTATTCAAAACTGAATTTAAAAGGCTAAAAATTTTGAAAATAACAAGACAATAGAGGGAAACTTTATTGTTTCTTTTACTCGTTGAACAAGCAAAAGTTGAAAAAGATCAAACTTGTTTAAAGTCTTATCTTCATTGGATTTGCAACGTTTTACTCTTAGAGGACAACTTTCCCGTTTGTGACGTTCAAGATTCCATTCGGACGAATAGAATTTACCGCAAGCCTAAATTTACAGATGACTGATTAGGTTAATTATATATTTCTTATTAATATTTATATATTCCTTAACAAGATGGTATCAATCAAACATAAATTCACTTTAATAAAATAAAATATATAAGTTCCATTGAATAACAAGATATGCAAAATCAGACCTGACAAAGATGTTTACCATTCTTATTACTATGAGAAAAATCATCCACGCCCGAACGCTTTCTTGATGGTGCAAGTACATTAGAATTTAATATAATATCTGACGTGTTGAAGACAAAAGCATTAGGTGGTGTAATAAATTGATCACTACTGAAATATCTTAAGTTATTTTTACTATTATTACAATGAAAAATTGAATAAATTTTCAAAAAACTGGACAAATAAAGCAAGAAAAGCCAATTTACAATTAAAACTTGCCAAAATCTAAGTAGTCCGCGAATTGAGCTAGGCTAATTTGAAAACCACTTTTTCTAAATTGTACGATGGGCAAGAAAATTCAAGTGGGAACGACACATAAAACTGATAATTCTAAACAAAAAGATTGTGCTACAATATTCAAGGGCTTAGCATTTTAATGTTGCAATAAGAACAAAAAATAAGGACAAAAAGTAAAAATCACTTATCACTTAATAGCCGATTAATTTCACTTAACCATCTACTTCAATAATATGATTCTCGTTTTTCTCCAAGAGGGTGTCAGATTTTTATTCGGGAACTTTTTAAGTTTGCTAATATATCGTTATTTTAATATTAAATTTACTAGAAATAATGAACAGCTTGTCTTGCTCTTTTGCAAGAAATAAAAAGAAAGGAATTCTCTGTATGGTTTGGAATATAAAAATATATATAAACTAAATATAAATATATAATATGTATAACTAAAGAAAATTGGAAAAAACTTACACTTGACTAACAGTAGTGCTGTCGGGATCAGCTGCAATGGGATGTAATTCATCGCAATGTAATTCAAACTGACGTTGATCAGGCAACCAACAATCACAAACTCTACAAAGAACACCACTATCTGCATCATCTTCTAGACTGGCAAACGTCTGTGGTACCATTTCCGTATTCTGTGAAAATAAATTTTCATCATCGATATGACCAAAATTTCTTAAAAGATTTCGGTAATAATAATAAAAAAGTTTGTTCTATGAATTAAGCAGATAAAAAATTGAGAAAAAAAAAACAACTTGGTGTGATTCGATAATAGCATTCGACGTGAATATTAATGTAGTTGGAGTGGTAGCTACAGGAGTTTCATACGTGGGTTGTTGGCCGGCGCTAAAGAAATTCGATTATTTCAAAAAATAAATATACATTACTAAAAAAACATACTATTAGGTTTAGCAAATGAAGGCAAATAAAAGTGCTAATGATGACGGCATTTGACGAAATTCTTTAATGCAATTCATAAGGTTAAATTAAAATGGAACTCACGTTCCACTAGCTGCTTTTGCTGCAGCCTTAACTTCAGCGCAAGTGGTACGATGTCGCTTTAATGAATAGTCGGATGATAGCGTTCTACAAAAAATAAAATTCACTAAAAACATTCAGGAATATATGTTTAATAAATAATAATATAGGTCAACTGCCAATAGTTTATGGAATATTAATTGCAGAGCTCTTGTTACAGAACAGAAGCCGCACTTATAAATATTATTACGCCAAAGTTATATACCATACTCATAGCTAAGTATCAGATGAATAATTATGAAGAACTGTAGAATATGAATAATAAGAAGCAGAAATGACATAGTCAAGACCAAGAACGTTACTGCCTAGAGCACCAACCATTTCAAGCACAACGATTCTCTTAGCAGAAGTAAAACTTTATTTAAAAAATCCAAACGCTAGACCCACCTATATTAGCGAAATTGCCTTATCCTACTAGAAGTTAGCGAATAACCGAGATATTTAAATACTACTATATTATATGTTTTTTCGTATAAAAATGAATCATATCTTTGCACAACCTCAGCATGATAAGAAGAGAATTAGACTGCCAACTAGAAACACCTATGATATACTCATAACAAAAAATATTAGTCTATTAATCGACTATTAAATATCGACTATTAGTAATTCAACTTTAAAAATACAGCATAAAATACAAGAATAAAAATATTAAATAGAAAAATATTAAATAAAAATAATAAAAAATAAAAATACGAATGAGAAAAATCAAAACTATAAATCAAGCATAAAATAATAAAATAATATTTAATAAATCAAAATGTATTAAAGAGAAAAAAATAAAATGAATTAAAATAAATAAAAAATAAGCGAAAAATTTGAGCACCTCTTACAATCCAAACATACATGAGCTTGCTTTGGCCTAACAGTCTGTGAATGTACAGTAGAGTTATGCACTGGTGAATGATGAATTTGTTGTTGTACAAGTTTTTGTTGTACCGTTTGTTGTTTTGAAGATTGATTAAGCACCGATTTCTGTTGCCGTTGATCTAATGCTAAAGAATTCACTTGATCCTTTTTCATCAAACTAATATCTAAAAAAATGGTGAAAATCAATAAATCAAAATCAAGTAAATACATAATTTATAATTGCATAATTCCATATGAAATATATGAAGCGAAATTATAAATTTATAATGAAATCAATGTGTAACAAGAGTTGAAGAATTGAAGAATTGAAGAATTATGGGTAAATAAGAAAATCAATTGATAATATTTACTTTGTAACGCTAGACTCGACTGAGAACAAGTTGTCAGAGGCACCACTCCTCGAATTGGAGGTAATTGAGCTGAAAAGCTGCTGCTAGTTGGCACTGTAAGTTGTCCTTGAGGAAGCTGAAAAAGAATTTGAAATAAATGCATAATCTGATCGTTTCAAGAATGAGAACTTGCCGAAACCAGATATTATAACCATTAAATTCCTTCTCCTTTCTCCTTTAATAGCCCTAATGATCTCAGATTTAACGAACTCTACTCGTTAAAAGGATAAGACTCTTTCGCCAAAAAATTACTTGGATCAAAAACAAATAAATAAAAGAAAAATAAGGAAAATAGGAATCGACCACAAAATAAAATGGAATATGGTTCAACAATTTTTAAGATTCAAACCGAATTTAAATCGGTTGTTAGATATAATGAAGTATTAGAAAAACATGAATTCGCAGCACTTGAAATCACGTTTCCATTAGATACAATCGAATTTGATAAATGAGATGGACTATAAAGAAAAAATATTATATCAAACAAATAAGTATGAAAAATTATCAAACAATTACTAATATAAATTTTGAATCATACAAGAAAAATTCCTATAAAATTTATCAAATTTTGAGGAATTACATGTGAAAAATCTAAGACTAAGACAAAAATTGCTTTCAGTACTGAAAATTAACAATTAACAATTAACCAATTTGTTTGATCGCATTCTTCAGCAAAAGTAGTATCAGCTTCAGCGAGTTCGGCCACTGGTTTCTTACACTCACCTTCGTTATTATCGGCTATACCGTCGTTACTATTCTTAGAAAAAAATTTAATGAAACGTTTAAAATTGGTATAAATAAGAATTGCAACAATAAGTATATCTGACATGATAAACAGCAATAATATAAATAAAAGTAATCTCAAAATTAAGTAAACATTCAATATGAAAATAACAGAAAATAAACAAACACGAACTGTAAATTCTGAAATTTGTGCTATATCTTCACCAGTCCTTTCATCGTCTAAAATCTGATAAGAGATTTGCTTTACAGCTGATGAATCGGTATATACAGCTGACCAATTTTTATTAACAGAAGCAGAAACAGTAACTGCTGAACTCGAGATATACTTTTCAGAAAAATGATTAACAATTGCAATAGATGTATCTGGCTTTGACAAAATTATCGATGTATTCCTAAATTACTTTGACGGCTGACGAAAGAAAAAACATTTGTCTGCTGACTGAAGCAAATTCTAATCAATATTCTAATCAATAAAAATATTCAAAATATTCAATATTCAAAAATATTCAAAAATATTCAAAAAAAACAAAAAATTGATGTAAAGCATGATTTCTAGGATGTGAAAGCAAATGATATGATAAAATTAAAAAACTTACTTTTCATAAGGTCGCTCATCCATGGAAAAACTATCACTTAAAATATGTATGCGACGTGGTTTCATTTTGTTTAATTGATATGATGTAACTTTATGAACAGCCGTGCGATGACGTTTCACGTTTTTCGGGCATGAATACCTGGAATTTTTCTCAATTTATAACATATTTTGAATAAATTATCGAAAAATTAAGAAATTTCTATTGAAAATTTAATTCATCAAATATAAATGATATATTTTTTTTACAAACGTTTTTAAACATTCTGGGCATTCATAGCGATAATCTCCAAATTCAGAACATGATCGAGCACCACTATTACTTGTATTGTTAAACTGAATAGATGCCGAACCGTCGTCAGATATTGTTTCAGAGCAGCGAGATAAACTGAAATAACCATTGTATTTTTTAAATATCATGAATGATGACGGCCAAGATCAAATTCTAAATCTACAGATTAATTAACTTTTAACCATTAACACTGAATACAAAAAAAAAATGAACTTAGACAATGGTCGTGATACAACGATAGCTCGTTGATTAAATGTAGAAGCATTTTTTATTTTATCCACTCCCGCCATCTCTAAATCAGGCAAATTTATCGCAGCAGGAGAATGAAAAGCTGGATTTGCGTGGGCGTTGCCCATAGTGGGTCTATAATTTTAGTGAATTGGTAAGGTTTTCGATTTCTTTAATTTTAAATAAATTTCGAAAATGAAAAAAATAAGCTTTAAATAAAAAAATTCCTAGAATTAGTCGTCTCGTTTTTCAATATTTTTTTATCTATTCAAAAATTTACATAGATGTGAAATAATGTGAAATAATGATATATACTTTAACAACAAAATGAAAAAATTAAAAAATTTTCAACCAACATCATTCCAGATTCATGCTCGTTCAATTTCATTTTACAATACGATTCAAAATCTAGTGATTCATCATTGAATTCACGTCCATCATTAGTATTTTGATAACATTTTCCATTAGATATTTGTTTTTCTCCAATTTTTTTTTCAATTATCTGTTCATCAGAAGTATATTCTTGAGAATCAAAAGGGGTCCTTTCTTCAATATTTAAATTTCTCTCATTTTTTAGAATTTCAGACTTTATAAATTGTTGGTCTTTAATAACATTTTGCTCTAATAATTCTTGCTGTAATTGTTCCTGCTGATTTTCCTGTTGCTTACTTTGCTGTAAAATCTGCTTCTGCAACTGCTGTTGTTGCTGACGTCTCTTATTATGCTGCGCGCGCAGATGTTCACCAACGGTTATCTAAATACATTATAGTGACCAAAATCGCTAATGAAACAAAAATAAAAATAAAAAGTAGAACAATTAAGAAAATCTACATATTTCCTGGATGGAGATGATGGAGTAGTTATCACTGATTTGCTGTTAACTTGCGCATGCGAATCAAGAATCGTTTGCTTCTGATAACATGGTGTATTGTTATTTATTGAACGTCTTCTGGCATTTGGTGATTGTTTCGATGCTGCAACGGCAGCTGCATAGGATCGATCGAGTATTAAGCGCTCACGTTCATCAACATGAATATTATCAAGTTGCATATGAGGTCGGCTGACTTTGTTCGAAGAGGCAATTGGGCTTGGCACTCTACAGAAAAATAAGTAAATAAATATGAACTAAAAAAATTTAGGAAGAAATACCAAATACTCCATAAAGTTACTAATATTTTAGATGTAAAATACTGTTACGAGATAAAGAAGTATAGATAGAAGTATATGGCTTTCCAGCATCCACTCCGATTTCCAATTTGCTCCTATCGAAATCGAAGCCATACTTCTTGCCCTCATTTAAACCAATAAAGGAAAACCTGGCATTTGCAGCCTTACAAGTGGCACGATGGCGTTTTAGATTCGATGCGCTACAGAGAGATCTGTTGCAATCGCCACAAACGTTAGACGTATTATTTGCTCCATTTGTCGATCGCACTACGTTGGCATTCAAGGAATCTCTCAATGAATTTGTACTGAAAAAAAAGTGCCAATTAAACGAAATTAATACAAAGTAATAAATAAATTCAAAGTTAATGAAATAAGAAATAAAGAAATCAACGAGTTAAAATTGAAAATGAGTTTTAATGCTGAATTTAAAAATAATAATAATAGTTCTAGAAGATGAAATATTAAAAAATGCTATCGCTCCTTCAATATCCTCCGAAGATTTACTACTTAAAATTTCACACTTAAACTTACGCCTTAAAAAAGATGACAAAAAGAAATGAGTATGAAAGACAATCTAAATTAGTTTCAAAAAAAAAACTACACCGTCCATTAAAAAATGAAGTTGATACAATATAAAAGACAACATGCAATTCACGAAATCTAGTTTATTGAGCACCGGAGACCTGGAATATTGGACAAGTGACGTAGATCCACCCGAAGATCCATTAACAATTTCCTCTGCAGCCGATATCTCATTGATGACATAGAGAAGATTGCACTTTTGAGAATCTGTTACATCAGATGCTGCATCAGTATTGCTAGATAATTGTACATTACTGAAAATGGAATACCATAAAGATTTATATGCTAAACGTGCAAAAAAAAAAAAATATAAATTAATGAAAGCACAATATCTATTTAATAAATTAAAAGATAATCTGATATTTAACATCAATAATCCTCATGCATATTAATGAATACTCTAACGAAACGCCATTTTAATATTATAAGAATTCTTTTAACTGAAGTTAAACAAAGTAAAAAGAAATAAATAAAAAAAACGAGTCCATGAGAAAAAAATTATGAAAACAAAAACTAAAATAAAACTGGAAATAGCAGATAACTGGAAATACATAATAACTGGAAATAACTGGAAATATCCCCATTTAGTAATATTTTCACTTTTTCTAACCGAGTAAAAATGAGAATTTCACCTATCATTAAACCATTTTTTCGTGAAACTAAAAACAATTTTTTAAAATTTCATTCAAAAAACAAAAGAAAACTCACTCTGCAAGATTAGTCGAACCATTTTGCGCAGAATCCTTCATTATTAAATCAAGCTGATATCGTTTACAAGTACTACGATGCCGCTTCAAGCTTCTATTCGAACTAACAGTTTTGTTGCACGATTCACATCGAAATATGGTTTCTGACTAAAATTATAGATTTGATTTATAAAATACAATAAACGGATAAAAAAAAACGAAAGAAAAATCGAAAATGCCACGGAAAAATCAAAGCTTAGTTTCATTTCTCTACTGTCATCTAATAAAGAAATGCAAAGGCGAGTGGAATGGCTAAATGATTGTTGCTCAATTCGGAGCGCCAATGCTGAAATTCCACTCCCAGCAGGAATAAATCTATCTAAACAACAAAGTGATGCTGGCGACTCATCTGTATTTCCATAGCCAAGGGACACCCTAGCACATTTATCCAACAGATTTATCCAGCTGAGCGAGTCTAAACAGTATTGATAATAATATTGATAAACGTCTTTTAAAAAAAAATGACTGATTTAGTCGACTGTAATTGATTGTTTGCATAATCGGAAGTCAAAAAATTTTGTTGCAAAATATCGTTGCCAACATCAACATCAGCATCAATAAAAGAAACAGACCTCATTGAATGATTATCTAACGCACTAAAAAAAAGTTTGGAAAATATTTAAAAATTTAAACAATTTTTTTGCAGAGAGAACAAATAAATGCTTAAAGTTATAAACGGCTTCAGTAAGGTATAAAGATAAATAAAACGTTTAAAAATTATAAATAAATAACGCTATCGCCATCGCCATCAAAAAACCTATTCAGTTAAAAACTATTAATCTAATACAGTTCAAAAAGGATTTACTAAACATTAAAAAAATTATTATGAATTGATAAAAAAATTTTTTTTAAAAACCTTTCATTAGTAAGAACATTAATGTTGTCATGTGTAGCGATTTGATCGACAGAACTCTCCAAAAACTCAGTGCAACCTTGTTGCATACTAAAAATGTGATTAATGAAAGAAAAGTCTTTGGCCAAGGGCTAGAATTAAACCAGGAACTAGTCCTAGGCGTAAGCCAATGATTTTGTGGCTTGGCCAAGGATTTGGCCATGGCCAAAAATGATGCTAGACCTATAATCACTCTATATTCGAAGGCAATCAATTAACTGAATTACTTAAAGAATAAGACATTAAAACTCGAAAATATTTATAATTAAAAGCACAGAGAATGATACCTGCCACTATTTGTAGAAACGCAACTAATAACAGGAGTTTGTACTGTTAATTGCTGCGCTGAACAAGGAGTAGATTTTGACAATGTATAACTGGCGCGTTCAACTAAGGATAAAGTAGAATTTGCTACGCAAACAGCGACAGAAGTGATCGAAAAATTGTCAGTAGAAGTTAAAACCATATTTTCAGCTGTAGCTTCAGTAGCATCAAGCCGAAACTATAATATTTTCATTTTTAAGCATTTCAAAAAAAAATAGATTTATTGAATTGTTACCTTACCATTTTTATCAGTGCCAGAACTTTCAATAATTTACAAATATTGAACAGGGAATAAATGTAAATAGTACGATAAATGTTCAGTTAAAAATAGTTTGAGAAATGTACAAACTAACTCGACTGGCTGATGGTGAAGAGCAAAACTGACGTTGTTTGGTACTTGATGAAAGTGCAGATTTACAAGACATACGATGTCGCTGAAGATTTCTATGGGTGCTAACGGATTTCTGACAATCTGCACAAATGAATTTACGAGCAGTTGTCAATGAGGTTACCGATTTTGCGGTATTTACTGCATCCGAAATATGGAAGGAATTTATAGCTGTAGAAGAAGCAGAAGAATTTTTTACTCTTGAATTACCATTAGCAAGCGAATTCACATTACATCCAGATGATGACAATTTCTGATTCATTGATGCGCTGAGAATCTGTGATACGTTCCTGCAATACAAACAAAAACTTCTGAATATGCAGAACATGTAAATTTAGCATCAAAATTCATTCCAATAATTCGGAAGAGTTTCATTGCCAAGTCTAAATCTTTTAACAAAACATTTTTTTTTTTTGATAACTCCTTTGATAATCACAATTAGAACTAAACAATTTTAGTATTCAAAACTTACCTTGCAACCTCTTCCTCAACATTTTTTAAATCCAACACTTGTTTTTTAGCCGAACCACGACTGTTCCTAGTACTGGATGATCTGCTCAAAAAAAATTACATGTTTTAATATCACCAATATTTTATACAATAATTTAAATTCGGTAAAAAAGCATACCTACAAAGTTGCCCACGGGCATGAATATTTTACACAATATCTAACAAATAACTTAAAAATACAAATAACTTTTTCAAATCCCTCGTCGTTATTTCCCTTTATTTTACAACATTAATGCTATCCTAATGCATTGAATAATATCCTTTTTATGCATCGCATTTTTATCTTTGAGATTATCTTTGAGATTCTTAAAAACTCCCTCGAACTAGGTTTTAAGGACGAATCAGCCCCATGAGCTTAGATGCTTTAATCTATCGCTAATACGACAACTTTCTAAGAATCTGTTATAATATTCGCCAGTCTAAAAATCATCTTGAACCACACCACGAAGCTACACGTATTCTTTCAATAAAATTTGCCATTTTCTATATTAACTTAATTACCTATAGAAAACAACAAAATTATCGCATTATACCGCTTTATCACAACCCATTATATTACCTAATCTATTGGTCCTTATTGACGTTTCTTTTTGCATTTGAAAAACTCTCACCATTTCTGGTTAGGATCACTTAGCTAATTGGTCAGACCAGACAAATACTATAACATGGCGATAAAAGTACAGGTGAACCACTAACACCACTAGGATTTTTGAAATAAAAGTTTACTCCTGGCAGCAGCAGAGAATCAACTCTGATATAAAAATAACAACCTAATGAGCCATTCTACTTCATTATGAGACATGCCAAATCTTAAGCGCCATATGAAAGAGTATTTACCTCTCCAAACTTTACAAACTTTTGAACAGAAACTATTAGACTGCAAAAGCCAGCATAGTGAAAAGAATCTGATGGGAGAGAGATGGAGAACGTTGGAAGAAAATTATGGAAAATTTATTCCGACAATAATGTTTAATATTAATAATATGAAACTTAAAGATCCAGCATCATATAATCTAACCCAAACCATTACTAGATTAATAATCACAAATACAATAAAACCCAACCTATGAGCTTTGATTGTGCCAGTATGTTCATCGTTTTGCTTCTGCTTTAGATGGCTATCAACAGTACTGGCCAACTGAACAGAACTATTCGCAGAAACAAGTTGATAAGCATGATTTGTTGTGCATCTTTGACCATTCGGCGAAAATGCTGTACAAATTCAATAATATTGAAAATATTAAAAGTCTAATTTTGATAAATCTTTAATAATCGTAAATTATTTTAAATATCAGAGAAATCAGCAAAATTAATTAACTTGTGAATTCCTTAGACTCAATAAATATTCCCTTTAACATTTCCAATGACTAAGAAGAAAAAAAATTGAATGATATAAATACTTTGATTTCGAATATTTGGGTCCATAAAAACTTGTTGCATCGATACTGATGATTGTGCCATATCACCATTTGAAATAAAATTGTTAAAACCGCTCAATACGTATGCAACTCGATTTGGAAGTAATTGTTTTTCATCTAATAAATCATTCTGATCTATCAAAAATTGACTATTTTCTTCAACGATTTCATTAGATCGATTCGCTGCATTAGTGAGACTTCCATTATCACAAGAATCATCATTTTTTATATAGTGAATTTCTTGCTGAATTGGAAGAGACCGTTGTTCATCATTTACGAATTGAATGGTAGTTTCATGCATCCGTTGTTGTGTAGTATCATGATTGATTGCTTGATCATTTCCAATATTTTGAATAAAATGAGGCGACATCGAATGAACTTGTGCGGATAGTTGATGCATGACAGGCGACAATTCATCATTTAAATTTAACTGACCTGTAAAAGTTTTTATTTAACTAACTATTTTCGAAAAATGATGAATTAATTTTTCATAAATTGTAAAACATTTGAAATTGTAAGAAAAAATGACTGTATAACTTGAAAATTCCAGGTATTGCTCGTCAAGGGACTCCCCGGCATATCGATCTAATCCGACAAGCTAACGGAACGAATTCAAATAGCAATGGTGAATATTCAAAAAAAAGCTTCTAAATGGATATTCTTATTATACTGAATGGTGATGGTTCCATTGTTGAAATAAGAATTTGCACTTTTGTGAATTTATGCCTGTGTCTATGTGTATGTATACGTATATGTGCGCATATGTGCATAAGTATATACCCTGAGAAATAACAAAATGTGAAGCTGAAAATTCCTTAGACTGAAAAGTCTCAATCTTTAAATTTTTAAAATCAACAAGATTTGAGGTGATAATATTTTCGATTATTTAATTTCAAAAATAATATGCATATTAAAATAATCAAATGAAATTATTTAAATAGAAAAATTCAAATAATATTTAATTTTGTGGTAAATAGCCTAATTTTATTTCTAATCCCTTGAACTCAATATTAAAATATCGAGTGAATATCGCTGAGGACAAATCGACATTTCTATTCTCTCATTAAATCTTTCTAAAAGAAATAGAAATAAAAAGCACTTTGTTTAATAAGATTTAGCGAAAAATAAATTAATTAAATTTAGAAAAAATCAATTAAATTCAATAATTATTAAAAAATTTAAAAAATTAATAAAAAATTATAATAATTGAGAAAATTGCTAATATATTTTATTGAATTTTAGATTTTCTAAGCGTTCATTATCGCGTTCTACGATTATATTATTGCCTTAACAAAATTTGCCTCGGATTCTACTTTTTTTTTTCTCAATTGTTTTAGTCCAATAATCTCTTTTTTATTCACCTTAATAACCATCTTTAATACCCATATTTAAATGACTATAACTATAAAATTTATCTCTCATCTATATTTAAATATCGCGAAATGTGATGTTTTTTATAAATTTATTATTTCAAAATTTCAAAATTTCTAGTGAATTGCGAACTGCCAAAAGGAACCTTTCATCAATCATTAACTTAATTAATTTTTTGCTTATTCCATTTATATTTGCTCAATAAACTATTAACGTCAATTTACACAAGTTACATATGCTTCTCGAGAAAATTGCCTCTCCTTCTTATTGTGGAGCCATTAAAAAACCCAAGCGATTGGGTACAAATATTTCAATATTTCTATGAATAAATAATATATTACATTAATAATTCCAATATTTCAATATTTTATACTTTTTGTTTATTTTTTATATTTTATTTAAGGTCCTATATATATTATTTATTCATTTCTTATTTGTTTTTGAAATAATTATCCTTCTAGTCTTTGAATTTAATTTATATCGAATATGACTATATTTCCTTATCAATATATTACTGAGGTTTAATTACTCTAGTTTAAGGTGAAGAATAAAATTTTTATTAATGCGAGCGGTGATCAATATTTCTACTAATGTCCTGATAAAGCAGTCTGATAAGGTTTATCTAAAATATTAACGTGTGGTAGGCGAGCATCATTCCGCTATATACAACCATATATTGAATTTTTTACATTAAGAATGAACTGGCCGATCATCAGAATAAATAATTTTTAGAATAATTTAATTAAACTGCTTCAAGAAGACAATCAAATCATCTTTAAGTAAATTTTTTATAACAGTGCTAAATCCTCTGATCAAATCAAATCATCTTTAAGTAAATTTTTTATAACAGTGCTAAATCCTCTGGTCTTCCATCATTATAAATTCTCCTATATAATTAATGAGATAATTTTTCATTCATTTTAACAATACGAATATTGTTAAAAAATTGCCCAGAATTTTCAACTTACTCTTACTCTTTATATTCTATAAATTAATTATTAAAATGTGGAAAATAGTTGCTCGTCATATCTGGAATAGGAAACATTTTGCTTTTTGCTTAAGTGCAGTAAATTAATTAAGCTAATTGGCAATTTATAAAAGATATTTTTAAAATCTAATTTTTCAATGAAAAATTAATTATAAATTATTAATAATTAATAATAATAATATAAATATTAATAATATTATTACATTAATAATTATTAATTATATATTATAATAATTATTAATAATAATAATTATTATAAATTAATTAGATTATAGATTATAAACTCGACAGGAAAAGAAGAACTGAATTATATGATATGTTAATTATGTGATATTCGATTACTTTAATTTGAACAATAGACTTCTACTTATGCTTATATGCTAATGCGATCAGAGCTATGATAGGAGTTAATAGGAATTAAGTAAACCGATTTGTTAGAGAAAGTTCTTTTGAAAAAGGCATCCACAGCATCACTGAAAATCGCCATTCTTTATTCCTCATTCCTTTAATAGCAACAACGCTATTTCTTCCCTCGTTTTTTACTGTACTTTTTATTACCAATCTTAATTTACTGTTGCTAATAGACAAAATACTGTTTAAAAACTTACAATGTTCTTGTTCATGAGATTCAATCGCATTTGATTGTATTTGATTACCATTAATAATCTGAGGTGTAGAAACACATTGAACGGGTGATAAAATTTGAGAATCAGAAACATTAGCGCTTAAAAGAACTGTACAGGGCGATGAAGTTAAAGAATTTGTCTCTGTGTTCGCCTGACAAATGGGGATAGAAATAGACTCATCCAGCGTTGGCACAACACAATTGTGTCGCAAATGGCCCAATGTTTCATGAATTGGAGGTAGCGATCTACCTGAAAAAAGACAATGAAGTTCTATTTGGTTGGATTAGTGATATGCAACTCCTACAAAACCGATTCTAAATTTTGAACTTCGTAATACTTACAAATCAAAAAAAAAACGTTACGTTTATTTTTAGTAATCTATAATAATGTTTAAAAAAAAACATTAAAAAAACTTTATAAAAAATGACTAGAAGAACAGTCTGAAGCATTAGCCATTGCCGATGGAGAAAAACCAGCTTTGAAGCTCGTTTCACTAGTCGGTTATTTTATTTTATTAGTTAATCATTTATCTGAAAAATGAAATAAAATTTAAGCAAAGAATTTTTCATTTTCTAATCGATAAATTTTATAAATAAATAAGCCCTTGGAACAAAGAAATTGATAGTATGGCTTGAATTGTAAATCCGAATTATCTCTAGCAAGTACCATCGTATTTTTCTAACTTGAATCTAACTTATTCGAAAGTGGAAATAAGAAGAGATGCTTAGCACTCATCATTTCTAATTAGGCTCACTTCGCTTGTTGTAAATGCGATTAGAAAATTAGATTTTTTGCTAGAAAATGATTTAGGGAGAATAGAAGAGTATAGATGCATTGTTGATATCTGAATTTCTCTTAGTGTCACAATTTTATTTCTGTCAAAAGCAGAAGCTGAAACAATGCCGATAATTTAACTAATCGGCTAATCTAACTAATAACATTCGAAAGTGGCAAAAAATGCTACTAATACAAGCAAAATAATTAAAGAATTTCAGGTTTGGTACCACGCAGAGAGTTTCAATGCCTAATTCCAGTAGTGAGACAAAGTAAGAAATAGAGAAAGAGTCCCTTTCCCTCCCTCCCCCCCCCCCCCCAAAAAAAAAAAAAAAAAAAAAAAAAAAAAACCATAGTAAAAGGAAAATACCTTTCAGACATTTTTGTTCATTTCATTGTTTTCCTAATTCCTCTCAAATTAGTATTTTGAGGTAAACAAAACGAGGCCTTCACCAAATTATTCTGACCTGAAAATCCAATCAAATATATTTATAGCTATTATTTATTATGTCGAAAAATCGAAAAAAAAAGACAACAAAAACTTCTTTATCCTCTCTCAATTCCTTTTTATTCCTCCATCTTTTCTTTTCTCTCTTCTTTTCCTTCTTCCTTTCTCTGCTATTTCCTATTTATTTTCCTTTCTCTTTCTCTTTGTCATTTGTCTCTCTTCTTTCTCATTCCTTCATCTCCTATTCCTCACTTATAGAAGCCATTCATTTCCTTCTCCTTTCTTATAACTTTTTCCTTCTATTTTCCCTTCTTTAATGAAACTTTCCCAAAGAAATCAACATAACAGCTATTATAAAAAAAAAAAACAAAACAATAAACAATAAATAATAGAAACATATGTAATCGGCTTCGGCCAAAATTGATAGATGGAGCCGATGACTAGATATTTATAAACGACAGCTGAATGAAAGCACAAAATTCATTTGTTTATGTTTTAGACATGGTTCACGTGATGTTTACGTGATCACGTGTACTTTTTTGGCGCACGTGACCTGTTTTATTTGTGAAAGAATGAGGTTGGTTTACGGTGGTTTAGAGGATTTTCTGTCGAGGACGATTGTTTTCCTTTATATTATTTTAATTTTTATTATAAAATTATTTCATATTCATACATGTATTTAATAATTTCTCTTCATTTCGGTTTCCAGTAAAATCTGTCATATTTAATGGGGCACTTTCTCCCCTCCCCGCCCTCTTTCTCCCCTCCTCAGTCGTATTATTCCTTCATGGATTGTCTATTTCCCGACAAAGAATATTTTGTTTCAGCTTGTTAATAATAATCTTAACTATCTATCAAGCCGTCCTTTTCTTGCGAGCCTTTTATATTCTACCAGTATCCCTTAAAGCCCTCTAGATTTTTCTACTATTAGCCGTACTTTATTAGCAAATATTTCTTTTCGGGATGACCTTCTCAGTATTTTTTTATAGCTTTCCACGCTTTAAAATCTTATTCTGCTTCAGATTCCGTTATATTCCTTTTTACTAGGCAGTAATACCTCCTTAATCCTTTTGGGTCTAAATTTTAAGCCATACTGCTTTATGAGAACATAATTATGCCCCTTTATTACCGTACCGGTCGTGCCAGTCATACTGTTTTTCTCCCTCTTGCTGTTTTATGTATCGTAAAAATTGCTATTTTTTGATAAATTATCTATTTTTCTAAAATTTATCGCAGAATAGGAAGTACCAAATTTTGAATATTTTGATCTGTGCTAGGCTAAATGGCTAAGTAAACGATGGGTAATATTCTAATCTAATAGCTTAGATAGGCTAAGTTTTTTTTTTCCATTTCTAAATTTTTCCAATTTTTTTTATAAAATCACCGTTAATCACCTAAATATGGCTTATTCAGGCTCGAAATACAATGAAGGAAAGTGGAAATTTCGAAAAAAAAAAATTAATTTGAATTTCATATATTTCAAAAATAAAAAAAAATTTTCATTTACTAATTTAACTTATAATTTTTATTTATTTGATTAATTTATTTTCTTTTATTAAAATATTTGAAACATTTTGAAAAATTCTTAAAATTTTTAATTTTTAAATTTCTAATCTTAAATATTTTAAGAAAGCAAACAATATTTCAGAGAAAAATTAAGAAAGAAAAAAAAGAAAATGAAAATCGCTGAACAAAAGAATAACGCTTGAAAGAACGCAATAAGTGGAAAGAAATATTTGAGGTGTTTGGTCGATAACTGATTTTTCTCAAGTTTTTTTTGTTTTTTGTTAAAAATGCCGATAAACAAAATATAAAACATAATATTGCATCAAGAAACTCTAAATCCTCTATTTATAACAGAATTTATCTTATTTTATCCTAAATTATTAATTTCAAATTTAAAAACCTGAAGATGCAGTTGGTGATTTAGTTATACTCTTATCTTATCTTATCAAATGGTTCTCTCTGATCAATCTAATATCAAAGTATTTTAGGTTAGTTAGTTAGTGAAATAGGAAATTTCTTTATATTTCTTGAAATAATATTGCAAAATAATAAATCGTAATTTTGAAATAAAATTTTAATTTTTAATAATAACTACAAATAAATTTAATAATCAATACGATTAGAAGAGCTCAATTAGTTGTAGTGGAAAATGAATGAAATGAATGAAAATAACAGATTTTATAGAATCTTCTCAATGAAGAAAATATAAATAAATATTTCTTTTTAAACTAATTTTTCAATGATTCTTTAAATTTTTTATTAGCGAGTACGAGAAATTCAAATTAAATGCCATTTCATATCAAAATTCATTCATAAATTTTCGTATAAAAATTGAAATATATTGTTTAAAAAAGAATTGTTCAACAAAAAATTCTCATTCTTAACTATAGAGAAGACTTATATGTATAGGTATTGTAAATAATTTAGCGCTTATCACTTATTTTAGGATTGCTTTGCTGTTAATTTGATAAAAAATTTTCACTAGGAAGTCACGTTGTGATAAAAAATAAGTATTTTGATTTAACATAGATTTGATTTCAGGTGTAGAAGGTGCAGAAATTTCACCTAACAACACTGAGGTAAAATTTAAGAAATGCAAATAATCTATGGAAAGAAGAAAAAATCACAATATAAATATATTTTAATATGAATATTTTAATGATAAAATTTTTTCAGTTATACTAAAATATGGAATTGGTTATAAAAAGGAATTTTCATCATTTTCAGAGAAACAATAAAAATATCTTTAACGTTTTACAATTTTTTCCGAAAATTTTCTCCTTTTTCTCCTTTTTCAAATTTTTTTTTAAAAACAATTTCAATTTTTCCATTAAATGGGCATTCTTTCTTTCTTATGATTTGTTGAAATTATTCTTTTTTGTTTTGCACTGAATAGATTATTAATTATTATGTAATTATTTTATTCAATTTACTGAATATTTATTTGTCAAAAATATTCGTTAAATATTTCCTTATCCATGCATGTAAACTGAATAATAATTGGCTAATAATTCATGTTAATAATTCAAATAAAAAGATTATCATATAAAGTATTATTATTTATAAAATATTATATTATGTTATGTATTATATTATATTAAAATATTATATTTTCATAAAAGCATATATTATTTGCTTTACGCATAGTAAATTTTTAAGACATCTTCATATTCAAGCCTTAACATTTTTTAACAATTGATGCTTATCACTATTACTTATTATTGATTTTTGATTTTTGATAAAAATTATCAAAACACGACTTATTTATTCGTAATTTAAAAAAATAGAAATATAAAAGTTGAATAAATACTAAAATATAATTAAATAATATATTATATAAAAATATAATATAAAAATTAAAGTATTAATATAAAAAATTATAAAAATTATGAAAACCTAATTAAAATAGCATTAAATTTTATTTTTGAAATATTTTTCATAAAAAATTCGCTTCAAATAGTATTCCATTAGTGATAGAAAATTTTTTATTTTTAAAAAAAAATTTTCAAAAATTGATTAAAATTTTTATAAAATTTCTCTAAATTTCATCTTTTTTCCTAAAAAAAAATTTTCTTTCTTTTAAAAAATAATCATAAAAACAATCACGAATTTCAGAAAAAATAACAGTTTATTTAGAAAATGAATGAAATGGCTCAGTGAGTTATTGTTTACATTTCGGAATATCGATGCCAAAATTCTATTCCACGGAGGAATAAAACTATTTTTAAAAAATCGAAATATTGCTGGGCAACTCGTTTGTACTTAAGATTATTTATGGTGGAACTACAAAGGAAACTAATGCTGATACACCGCTAAGCTTTCGAGCATTCCGAGGTGAACATAACTGTTGTCCAATAGTTCATTTCTTAGTTCATTGACAAATGCAAATCGGAAGTAAAATTCAGGCCAGCACCAGTGTTCGGCTTATTATCCACACTATCCTCAAATAACTCTGGCTTTAGTCTTATAATTACTAAAATTAGATAAATCTGAAGTAATGAGGGATCGATATTTGGACTTAGACGATGGAAAAAGGAATGGCTTCTATTACTATTAGGGATGGCGTCGGACCAGGCAGCTTGGAGACGTCTTACTCTTATAACCAGCGGAACGAGCCTAACCAGCGATGCTGAGAACTGTTAGAAGAAGAAGAATGAAGGATCGATAACGATACTATTCATTTATAATATTTATTAAAAAAATTACACAGTTAAATAAAAATTCTATT